TGTTTTGGGCAGGAGAAAAGGACAACAAATATATCTAGTTATTAAAAATATAAATAATAGCGCTAATTAAATAAGAATTTCCATAATTTAAATAAAAGTGCAATTTCTGAAATTTTTATTCAATGTAAACAAACAGAAATTTTGACAATTTGGCACGAAACCACAGGGTATACAGAGGTGTCACGAGCAAAAAACTATTTCCCTCTCTTTCGCACAAAACGAATTCAATAATTTTTTTTAGCTGTATTTTATATACCTCTTCTCACCAAACAATTTCAAAATCAAACAAAAGCTGATTTTAGAATTTTTTAAATGTCAAAAGTGACAGCTCTGTATACTTTGTGACGAAACTGTGTGCGGACGAGATAACCTTGTTTGCAGGGTTGGCAAAATTGGTACAATTTTACTTTTATTTGTACAATTCAATCCTCAATAGTACAATGGTACACCAATGACCCATTTTGTACAATTTGAAATTCATTTTCTTACTGAAATAATAATCTAAAATTGTACTTCTGACATAAAGTTCAAAGGTAGGAAGTCCTACGATAAATTCTGAAGAGGAAAAATATAGTTCTTGTTTATATTCTCTCATATTGTTTAGAAACCTGAAAGAAATTACAACCAGACAAGCAGAGTAATAATTTTCCACAATTATTTGTTATTTATTTAGGACTTATTTTATCCGATTTTAAATAATTTTAAGGGACTTTTAAGTGCTATTTTGAATAGACTTTTAAAGTACATTTTACTATACTTTGGCGTAGTCTAATGAATTTTCTATGATCTGGTCTATAAATTAGTCTAGGGACTAGTCTATGAAGTAGCCTTTGCGTTGTTTACCGACTATCCTATTATCTAGAGTATAGTCTATAGGCTATTCTATTATCTAGTTTATAGACATCTCTATGTATTTGCCTTTGGACTAATAATAACATTATAATCTATAGACCAGTATATTGTCTAGTCTATAGAGTAGTCTAGTCTAATGACTAATCTAGCCCATAGATACAGTTGAACTGTTAATTTTGAGAGTACTTGATATTGATATATAATTTCCAAAAAAAAAAAAAAAAAAATGATTTGGTACAAATTGAATCAAAAAAGTACAATTGTTATTGCTGTTTTGTACAATTTGAAAATTCTATTTGCCAACCCTGCTTGTTTGGTACAAAAGTTGGAAAATATTTAACTTTGGCGTACGAATGAAGAGAAAATGAGAACAAAAACCATTGTTTGTCTTTTTTGTTGTGTTTAATTTTGATTTGTGTGTGTGTGAAAAACACCATTTTTAAATTAACTATTTTTTATATTAAACCCTTCAAACATTTAAAAGAGAAAACTATTGCGCATCACCCCAGACGCCACGTCAGAAACACTTCTGGACGATTGTCAAACGAGAACGCACATTTTACAAAAACAAAATACATTGATTTCGAATTTTCGTCTTCTAGAAATATACTTTTAAGTTACTTCCGGATGATAGTTAGAAGAGTGCATCCATTTTGCTTAAACAAAAAACCATGCCTGTTGAATTTTTTTCATCTGGAAGTATACGTTTTAGTGACTTCTGTATGAGAGTTGGGTGAGAACACACATTTTACAATAACAAAATACATTGTTTCCTAATTTGTATCTTCTTGATTTGTATGTTTATGTCACTTCTGGAAGACAGTTTGAAGAGTGTTCACATTAATGTTGTATTTTATTCATCTGGAAGTGTGGATTGTAGTCACTTCTGTACAATTGTCAGACGAGAGCACACATTTTACAAAAACAAAATACATTGATTTCTAGTTTTCGCCGTCTGGAAGTATACTTTTAGGTTACTTCCTGATGATAGTAAGAAGAGTACAAAAACAAAAAAATATAAATACTCCATTTTTTAGCGTGAAAAAAAAATAAAAATAAATAATGCAGAAATTTCAGTGATGTTTTGTGTTTTGTTCAGTCATGTTCAGTTTTAATTATTCATCGTAAAACTTAAATGAGTTATTGAATTTAATGTTCATAGAAAAATAGTGTAATTAAAATATTGTGAATCTTAAGTAATAAAAAACAATATGACAGTGTTGTGTTAAAAATCAACTGTTAATAAACATTTAAGAAGGTTTTCTTAATTGGCGAAGTGTATTAAATATATACCAAAAAGTATAAGGAAGGATTATATAAATAAAATTAAAAAGTAAGTTGTCATTTTAAAATACCATTTTAGGAATATGTTAACAACTCTAAACGGCTTCCATTTCCATTATTTTTAAAAAAGTCTAATATGTTTAATTAAAAATGTTTAGGAGGTATAAGCATTTAAAGACTTTTTCAAGTTGCACATTTCGGCTTTCATTTGATGAACATTGCATTTTTAACATATTTAGATTTATTTGAGTTAAATCTTAACTTTCAATATTTTTAAAACTATTTGCGCGTTTAGGTCTGGAATCATTATATTGAAATTAATACTACTGTTTTATACATAAATTATTTTTTGACTTGGGTCATTCGACACGTAATTGCCCATATAAGATATTTAATATTGAAATCAGATAGTTTTAAACCCACCTTTTTTAAATAAATACAATTTTATTAATTTTCATATAGCTTTGGATTTAAAATAGTATTGCAATATTAGTGTCAAAAGCAATATCCCGTTTAGGGTCGTTAAGGTGTTTCTATCGTTGGTGACTGTAAATAATTTAAAAAATAATCCATGACTTCGTAATTTCAGATCTTTATAGACGGTTTAATTCCAAGTTATTGAAAAAATGTTCATGAAAGGTAATGTTTTTATTGATTCAAAACAATAAATAAATAAATTAATTAATTTTTAATTATTTTATTTTTTAGAAAGCAGTAGCTAATATTGTACCCCCTATTAAAATACTTCTAACCGAATTAAAATATAAAAAAGGGATCTGGTAAGTTATATATGTCTTATTTCATCACGTGGTTCCATTAAAAATGTCGATTATTTGCAGAAAATGTAAAAAATGGATCTGACCGTTTAAACTTTGGTGGTAAATGTATTGGACATGAGAGAATCCTATTTTTATTGCTTCCTAAAGTATAACTGGTAATTTCAATAAATACAAAAGTATGTATATTCAATATTAATTATAAAATTATTTTGGTTTATTTCGTTGAAGGATTAATGCGTTTCATAATATAACTCTTACAATTTGATGGATTAATCATAAAATTGATGAAGAACTACAAAAATATTTAAGAGTCCAACGTTTTACAATTTTTGGAAGTATACCAGTCAGCAGTTGGAATATTAATACAGATTCCCTGAAAATTATCTTATTATAAGGTAATAATTCTAAATTTTTGATACATATGTACATTAGACCGACTCACTCTGTATGGAAAGCAAAAACGTGTTTTTGTTACCCCTCCCAAAATTTACCTTGCTATGTTTTATGATGATTCCTAAAATATTTTAAGTGACCGCTGGACCAAATTAAAAAAAGGTATTTTGGAATTATTTTTTTTAAATTTTTGTTTGTTTTGAAACAAAATATCCAATACGGGGTATCGTTTAAAAGGTATTTTAAAGTCGCGTCCAATGATGTATTAATCATAAATAACCGTTTGCTTATAATTGTCATATTCCAAAATATTTAAAATTGTTAAGTTTTTACTAAGAAAAATTAAATATATGCACAATTTTGCAAATTTTGCGCACCACTAGACTTGGCTTCAAAAAACCTTTCAAATGATACCACATACTGTATATATTGTTTAAGAAATGCTGTATAATTTAAAACAAAATAACTAAAAAGGGACTTTTTTGTAACCGGTTCAGCTCACGAACGGCCATCGATAGACTAGAAATATTTTGGGAACCATTATAAAACATAACAAAGATTTTTTGAAGCTGGATAAAATATTGAATTTAACATGAAGAATCGTGTTCCCATACGATATTTTCTTTAAAACTGTCCAGCTCACGAATGGACAACACTTAACCGAAAATATTTTGGGTAACATCATATACAGCGAATATTATGAGGGGGTAACTCAAGCACCATTTTTTGTGAGTCGGTCTAATGTACATACATATATTACTTTTTTTAGATTAGTTGTTAAATCAATTATATTTTCTACTATTTTAATTTCAATTAATTCAATAAAAACTATAAAATTTCATTTTATTTAGATTTATTTTTATAGATTTTATTTTGGTGAGTATACAAATAGAAAAAGAGAAAACTCATCTTCTAGAAGACGAGAATACTCATCTTCTAGAAGAAGAGAATATTCATCTTCAAGAAGAAGAGAATACTCTTCTTCTGGAAGAAGAGAAAACTCATCTTCTAGAAGAAGAGAAAACTCAACTTCTGGAAGATAAGATAGGAACACTTCTAGAGGATACTAGGTAGTCACTTCAAGAAGTGACTTCCTAGTCACATCTAGAAGAGTCTTTGGCAATACCTTACTTCCAAGAGTCATCTAGAAGTTTCTTCTGCGGGTCTTCCAGAAGTATCTTCCAAGTTACTCTTAGACGTTCCCCAGCTCGGCATCAGTTCTTCCCGACTGGTGACAAGAATTCTTATACTTCCGCAACATCGCTGGCGAGCTTTTAGCACGTTTGGAAGTTTCACACGGGTAACTTCCGCAATAGAAAATGTTTGTAGGGAATATTTTATGTTGTATATTTTATTATATTATTAAAACATATTTAATTATTTTTTCACTTAAAAATTGAGTTTGTTACATGAAGTTATTGAACTTTATATCATATAGTAGTATATATCGTCACCTAAAACGCAAACGGCTCTATCTAACATTTTTAAAATTTTACAGGAGAAGCAAAAAACTATTTAAATTTAAAAGTTTGTTTCTATCATGGCGATTTATTTGTATTAAAAAAAACAAATTGTTTAATAGTGAATGTTATATTTTCCGAATAGTTATTAAAGGCCTGCACAAGACAACAATAATGCGACGAAATTTTTTAGCAAATTGTCGCATTATTGTTGTCTTGGGCAGGCCTTTAATAGGTAGTACATATGTATTACAAATGCAGTTTATTTTTCTAGCTAAGTTTTACATAATATTACCGTAAAAGAAAATACAGTTTATATTAAAAAATATAATCATCATCTTTATGACATAGCCCATCAGATTGGTAGTGATAATGTTTTTTACGACACGCACACATGTTCGGAAGGAAACAGTATCCTCTTCTTCCGCAGTCCCTGTTAAAAAATAAGAAAAATTAAATTAAAAAAACGCTTCAGTTATCATAGAACTAAACAAATGAGTGTTCTATTCGACCACGCCGAATCTTATATACCCACTAGGGTATTCAAACGATTAAACGTCGACCGGTTAATCGATAAATTTTTGTCGATTAATTGCTCGAATAAATGAAAATTGGAAAATTTCTAATAACGAATAAACCGAATAGGTAATTAAAAACATACTATTTATGAGTAAAACTGATGTATGTATATTTGATACAAAATTCATTATCTTTATAATAAATGCCATTTCATTACTTACTCCTTAATTATTTTTCAAAAATAAAGAAAATTTGATTGATAATGTTTATAACAATACTTCATATAATAAATATATAAATATATATAACTAATTTATAATACTTATTATATATTAGTTCATTAGAAGGTAGGAATTCTGCAACTAGTTGGAAAAATCTCAAGAACTTAAAAATAATTAGCTTAATTTCTTTATCAAAGGATTTCACATAAAATGAAATAATTTGTAATATATGAGTTAGTTCAGATTTCACAAACAAAAACATTTTTAAAAAATAATGTTCGCATCAACATTTAAAACAGAAACATTTTATATGTACATATGTATGCACAGTGATGTTCAATAAAATAGAGCAACCAAAAGTTTGTCTCCACTTAAAACCTCTCCTACAAAGAATAGAGTTGGAAAAACTAACTGAAATTTTGTATTGATCTGTTATGAATATAAAACCATTATTTTTGTAATGGTAAATTTAAGTTTAATTCTAAAACAATCTCATTAAAAAATTTTGAGTCAAAAAAGGGGCAGAGGCAAACATTGCAGGCGAGACAGCAGAAAAACGATAAAAACACTCCATGATCTAGGTAAGGGCTATAGAAAAATTGTTTAAATAATTGGATACTCCAATAAAATGATAGAAGATGCTGTAAAATATAAGTTTAAGCAAAGAATATTTAATACATAGAATGTGCGTCTCATACAAGATAAATAAAGAACATGTGTAAATCAGAACAACCCGCACGTCGAGATGCGTATTCTTCTTTGGTTTAAGCCAAAAAATATCGAGAAAAAATTAAAAATTACACTTTTTTGAAGCGAAAAATTCTGACTAATGCAGAGGATGACACTTTTGTGTACTCCGTGTACCTTTAAAAGGGAATATAATTTAGATGTTGCAAGCTTAATAGTAATATCTCTCATGTACAAAAATAATTTAAAATATAAAATTAGTACAAAAGTATAATATGGTACTTCAAAGATCCTGAAGGAAAAAATAAAATTTCCCAAAGAACATCTGAAATCTCTCCTTGACCAGGAATCGAATTATTTTGTGTTCAGATGTAAAAAAGTCAATTTATTTAATTCTGATATGATCCGTACATAGATGTTCCAACACTGGATTTTGTCCTCAATGTACTATGAATATCATTGTACATGGTGGCGGAAAAAATAACTTCACACCACTACATGTGGGGTTATTTTTTCTTGTTTGGAACATGGTCTCTATATCCAATAATTATACTTAACTATGCTATTCTGAATGAGAAATAGCACTTTTCAAGGAGATTCCAAGGAGATATTGTGTCCTCAAAAGCGCAACTTTTTATATGATATGACTCCATATTTCTTGCTCCAAAAAGATGTGTTATTTTTATTTTTCTTGATATTTTCTGGTTCAGACTTATGTATTACTACATATCGTCACCTGAAACGCAAACGGACCTAACTAAACAAAAATTCAAAATCGATTTTATTGTTGATTCTAATGTGTTGCACAAATCAAAAAGGACTCCTCCGACCAAAATTTGCGATTTTATTGACAAAAAACAACAACCCTATCTGCAAAAACATTTAAATATTAAAGGTAAAAAGTCTAATTTATCCATTTTTATATACGCCATTGTCAACTATCATAACAACTGATAGATTTTACTATTAAACAATTTGTTTATTTGCTACAAATAAATCGCGTTGATAGAAACAAACTTTTCAATTTTAATAGTTTTTTGCTCCTCCTGTAAAATTTTAAAAATGTTAGATAGGGCCGTTTGCGTTTTAGGTGACGATATACTATTTTCTTGGACCAAAGAATTACTTCAACAATTTACCTATAGCACTTACCTTGAACATATTTTTATAATTTTTCTGCGGCCTCGCCTTTTTCGCGGTTCAGCAGTAATATTTTGAATTTACTTACTGTTTACAAACGGGGCTACATAGCTGTCCAAATAAATTATCGTTGTACTTAAATCCTTCAAAACAGTTGCACTTTCCATCATGCGTACAGTTACCATAAAGACATCTCCTGGAAAAGAAAAGCGAATTAAAATACACTGGTTTCACGGTTTAACGAATGATGTAATGTCAGGCCCATTCGTAAAAACGGAAAATTCGTTAAACCGAATAACAACTTTTCTATGATTTAATAATAAAAAATGTAATGGATGATAAGAAGTATATTTTTTATATCTTTGTAATGGGTTTATAAAGATTGTGATTTTTCTGCAGTTTGCAAAAATTTGCAAAAGATTTTAAAAGAAGAAAAATATTTTAAACACTCATCATCAGTTGGATTTAAAATCTTAATTTTAATAGCTTTTGGATAATAATGAAATTTAGTGCTTGTTTTGTATTATTTTCATTTTATTTTCACTTTTTATAAAAAATTGTTTTGAAATTCGTTATATCGAGTACTAAATTCACTCATTCATTCGTAATAAAATGGGAAAAAATTGCCCGTTCGTTAAATCCCGAATTCGCTAAACTGAGTATTTGTTAAACCGGGAAACCACTGTACATTAACTACAACAAGCTGTTATTATTAAATATCCCTATGTTACTTAGAAAACAACAATATATAAATATAAAGAAATGCCAAATATTGAAAAAAAATTATTGGTAAATTAAAAAAAAATTTTTTTTGATAGATATCTCACTCGCATCCCATTAAACGTCCATTAAAAGCCCATTTTGAAAAAAAAATACTGTTATATAAATATCTAAACTCCTTTGGATAATTTTTGGTAGGGCCAGTAGGTTACACTCATTTGAAAAACAACCTTGTATGACCAAAATGTCTAACTTTGACCTCCTCTAACTCCGGCAGTTCTTGAACGATAGAGCTGAAATTTTTGAAAAAATGGAAAAAATGTTTAGGGACCTTATATGATGGTTATTTATGAACTAATCCTGGTAAGGAGATTTTGGTTGCTATAAATTAGTTTGTGTTGAATTTTGTCGGTATACTTGTACTTTTAAGTCAATTAAAGTCGTTTTCGAATTATATAGGGTTAAGAGTCAATTCTGATCCGATCCTCATGAAAGAGGAGGATCAGAATTTAGGTTGTTGCAAAATGTTATTTTTAAAACAATTATGTGTGTTAAAGTCATTTTCTGTATGGGGCCTTATTTGGGGTATAAGGTCAATTATGGACCGTTTTTCACGCGAGTTGTGTACTTGCACCGCCAAATATAGCGATTATTTCAGCTTAAGTTATGTTTAGGGACCTTATTTGATGGTTATTTATGAACTAATCCTGGTAAGGAGATTTTGGTTGCTATAAAATTAGTTTGTGTTGAATTTTGTCGGTATACTTGTACTTTTAAGTCAATTAAAGTCGTTTTCGAATTATATAGGGTTAAGGGTCAATTCTGATCCGATCCTCATGAAAGAGGAGGATCAGAATTTAGGTTGTTGCAAAATGTTATTTTTAAAACAATTATGTGTGTTAAAGTCATTTTCTGTATGGGGCCTTATTTGGGGTATAATGTCAATTATGGACCGTTTTTCACGCGAGTTGTGTACTTGCACCGCCAAATATAGCGATTATTTCAGCTTAAGTTATGTTTAGGGACCTTATTTGATGGTTATTTATGAACTAATCCTGGTAAGGAGATTTTGGTTGCTATAAAATTAGTTTGTGTTGAATTTTGTCGGTATACTTGTACTTTTAAGTCAATTAAAGTCGTTTTCGAATTATATAGGGTTAAGGGTCAATTCTGATCCGATCCTCATGAAAGAGGAGGATCAGAATTTAGGTTGTTGCAAAATGTTATTTTTAAAACAATTATGTGTGTTAAAGTCATTTTCTGTATGGGGCCTTATTTGGGGTATAAGGTCAATTATGGACCGTTTTTCATAAAATTTAGTAGAGATATTTTGGGTATTTCAAAACTTATTTATGTAATTTTATAATATTTTTAACCTTGTAATGAGGTTTAAAGGGATTTTCTGGACTGGCCTTTGTAACGGTTCAGGCGATATGCTCTATCCTTCAGGAGACCTGCGCTACCGACCGTGCTCAGGGTTTCGTGTTCTTGTATTCTCCAGGATAGGAGTACTGCACATTAACTTAAAAAGGTAGCTTCAGAAAATATTAACTAACAAAAATAAAATGAAATTAAAAAAATATAGTTTGATTTAAATGTCTCGAGACATTTCTTCTCATTCTATACCCTCCCAACCTTTGTCGCTGTACTCGTAATGAGTGTTAAAGTAATTGTCTAAAAGGGACCTTATATGGGGACCTATGTCCGCCATACTACATTCAATGATTTTATGATAAATTAAGCTGACTTTTGCGGAATTTTAATTATTGCTGCCTAATTAGCACATTTATGACTGTTTATACCATGTTTCCACTGAGGCGTTTTGAGCAAATCTAGTGGATTTGGGCAAAACCAGTTGAAATCAAGTAGATTTGCTATACATTTCATACATATCCAAATCTATTTAATCTACTAGATTCTATTTAAAAAATGTCGAAAATTTATTTATTCGAACATGTTTTGCATATGCAACAAGTTTGCAATTTTAAATTGGTGGCATTTAAGAAATAAATCTATAAATTTACAACCTTTATTATATAATTTTAATGAGTAATTTCAAAGAAAGTAAACTTTTTTTGTGTAAATATTAAAATAAAATGACAAAATATCTTCGAAAATTCGAATATCAAAAACGAGTAAGTTCACTGGAATCACCTTGAAAAGGTTTAGGCAAATCTAGTATATTTCTAGCCAGTGGAAACATATGTAGCATTAAGCTGTATTACGGGTGCTATACGACCAAATGCACTGATATTGCCCATTTTCAATCCGATCTTTTTAGATCATTATCTTTAAAAATCGAACTGAAAATTTTTATTTAAAATTTCTTAATTTTTAAATAATAAATCCCAATTTGATTACATCGTCCGACACTCAAAATTAGACATGATATAAATCTGAAACTAGAGATTAAATGAAGCAAAACTACGTTCACAGCTTTTTATTTCGTAATCCTGGTTCCTTGTAAATGGACTTCAAAATTTCAAAGGAACACATTTTAAATAAAATTGTATAAATACTACCCTACTGTGCCAATTTTGGTGTCAAATCACCAAGAGGAGTTGTAAAATATTTTGTGTTATTTTTATGTTATTCTGTCAGGATCAAAAGATATCAAAAATGCCCTTCAAAAATTTCTCCGAAAAAATAATATTGAAAATCTAAATAGACATTAAAGGATAAAAATTTACATCTTTTTTGAGACGCTATAACAGCACGAAGATACCTTTATTTATAAAATCTTTTATGTCATATGAAAGCCTAACATGTGGACATTAAAATAACCACTTTTATATCTTATTATTTCTTGGAGATATCTTAATTTCATAAGATAAAGGCGAAATTACTTCAATTCAGTTTTTGTAAATTTACGGTTGTTCCAAGCTTTAAGTTAAGATATCTCGAAGATGGGATAAAATATGTCTTCGCGCTGTGTAGCGTCTCAGATATGGCCAAAAACGTAGAGTTTATGTCACGATATCTATGATATCCTAATGTGATGGATAAATTTTGAGGTAGTTTCGGATTCAGAGCTGCTCAATATGTACTTTGGTCTCTGGAGTAAAAAATTTGTTGGTCTGTGTAACAAAAGCGGTATTTGTTTTTAACACCCAAAAATATTGGTCCTACACCCTCATTAAAGTACATATGTATATCATTTGGTTCAGAGTCACTTTTCGTCGATTAAGCTATGTATGTCCGTCCGTCTGTGTGTCCATGTAAAACTTGTGCGCATTCCACGATAATATGACACAATTTAGCACATACGCTTTTTTGGCCCAAGAACGAAGTAAAGGATGCCTAAGTAAGATGGAGTCGTCAAAAAATTAATTAATTCAATTTATTTTTCAATTTAAATTTGTCAAACAAAACATAAACATTTGGTTTTGTTTACATATGTATATAAGCGATAAAAAGGACAATTTTTATTAAATCCCTAGATAGATAACACTGATACATTTCAATTGTTTCAATTGAAATTGTAATAGTGGATAAACTTATTTTACAACTTCAAACAGACTACTAATGAGAACCTATAAAAGTGAACTTTTTGGAACTTTTTCGTTTTTCAAAAGAGATTTTTGAATTTTTAATCATATTGAACCTAGAAACATGAAATTAAGAATGTAGATCCCGGATTGTGTGAGAACCTTCAAAGGGTACTTTTTCTGTAATTAAAGTAATTTAAGCAATTAAAAACATATTTCCATTTTTCCTAAATATTTATTCCAGAAAACCGTTATTGATGAGTTATATTTCTGTTTAAGTTGTAATTTATTTCAACTGCTAGTTATGAGTTGTTTTTTTTAAGTTGAAGTTGAGCTGTAAAGGCCTATAATTGTTATTTTAGCAAAGCACAATGAGTACGTAACTATAGAAACTGTGTAATACGATATTTAAAACTTGTGTTATTATTACCCTCCACATCGATCTTTAAATAGATGATATTTTTGGCACTTCCTTGAAACAGGATCAAAATATGATCCCTTTTGAGTACATATACATCTTTGAGGTGCAGCACAGTAGCCACCAGCCTGTATACAACCAGGAAGACAGGGTTTTCCACAAACCAAGCCATCTCCAAAGGATGTTATGTACGAATTTTCACACGGACATTCTCCATCTTCGAAACATATTTCATTTTTACAACGTATGGGACATCGGGAAACACACTGTTTAGTATTCACTATTAACATTTCGTAAGATGAACAAATTGGCGGAGGATCATTTAATTTATATGCTTTAAAACTCTGGATATTTACGATTAAAATCAGTAACACTCTTATCATTATATTACTTTTTGAGACCTTTAATGGTAGAAATAACTTTATTATATGATAATACGAATAATTTATCAAGATGGTAAAACTATAAGTTTATATTTAGTGTTAGCAATAGGGGTATAACTTAGATTTCAGGTATCGTTTGTTAATAGCGAAAACAGTTTGTTGGAACCATTTCCAAATCAAAGTTTTCGAGACGTGCAATTAAATATACAGTGGGTTCTCGGTTTAACGAAAGATATAATGTCATTTGTAAAAACCAAAAATTCGTTAAACCGAATAACAACTTTTCTATGATTTAATAATAAAAATATGGTAATGGATGGTAGGAAGTCTATTTTTAAGAAGTTTTTTAATGGGTTCATAAAGAGTGTGACCATTTCTATTATTTTTTTTTCTGCAAAATATATATTTTTATTTCGTTAAAATTAGAAATAAACCAAAATTAAAGCTTTCAAGAATGAAATAGGTTTCAATAGTTAAATAGTTTACGTTTTCAACGCCTGTAAAGTAATTAATTTTTCTATGTACTTTTTATGTCGTTTTCAAAAAGTTACACCCCTTATATAGAAGTAGAAAAAGTGAAAGTGGTGATATACATATATATCTATGCATACGTATGTACATTAGACCTGCCACTAAAATATAAATTAGCTTTTTGTCGTGCTTTTTTGTTCTTTAGAATGGAATGCTACGACTTAGACTTTCTTATATTATTTAATTTTGAAAAATTAGGTCAAAATTAGAAGATATTGCACTTTGATTTTTGCAATGTCTCTAAAGCGATTTTTATATCGTTAGCTTAGTACGCAAACGTGCCAAGTCCTATTCAGTAAATTTTACAGTAGATGCAAAAAAACGTCATAAGTCTCCAATGGCACTATTTTTTAATTCTTTCATAATTGTTATTGAAAAACGACAAAGCTGTCCACACACTATGATATACGCCTTACTGCCAAAACAAAATAAAATGAAAATTGGAATGATTATCAAAAAATCAAATGGAAAATATTTTTGTTTCTACACATTTGTAATAAAATGAAACAATTCTGATAAAATGAAAAATTCTAATTTTTATGAAATTTTTCAAAAAGTTTAAAAAATCCGTATTTTCAGTTTCATTATATTTTGTATCTATACTTTCCATTATATTTGAAAATGTTTACATTACGTTATACTGAACTAATTGTTAATTTGTTAAAAAATTGCTCAAAACCCAAAAAATGTAAAAGCAAAATATAAATAAAAAAAATTAATGTTTAGCTTTTTCCATTAAGTATTTTTCTAAAAAAGAATGCACTAGAAAATGTCAGACACAATAAACCTTCTAATTAAATTAAATTTGTAAATTATTATTTATAAACTACAATTAAAAGCAGCGCAGGTCTAATGTACATACATACATATGTATGTATATTTACAATATTTTATATTACGTTATTAGAGTTATTATTTGCATTATTGATTTACGTTAACTATTGTACTAACAAACATTGTTCATTTGTAGCTGAAGTGTCATAACTCTAAAAAATAATTTCGAGTGAAGCGATTTTGAAAGTTAAATATTTTCTTATATATTTCTACAAATTTCAGAGAAATCATCGGTTTGGACGAATACCCATATTGGGCTTATTAACATACATATTTTTAATATGAATTTTATTACTTTTTTAAATCGTATATAATTTAAAACTTTAAATCCCATTTAAAATGAAAACCTGGAATTACAATTTTCATCTATGCAGCCTCTAATTGCACTATGTAGGTATAATTATATTTTTCACGGTGTAAATAAAATAATACAGTACAAAAATACAGTACTAACACATATGTTAAAAACAAGTAAGAATTTATAGTCGGACATGGCAGACCATATTATACCCCACACCAGTGAGTATTTTAAAAATGTGTATTTGTTTATAATAAAGCACTTAAGTTGTTTTTTACTTTAATTCCGAAATATTCTAATAAGTGATTTTTTGAAAGAGGTTTTATATAGTGGCAATGGTAAATATGGGTGATTTACGTTTACATTAAAGTTATTTATGCTAGGTGAAATAATGTAGCGATTTCAATCCATTTTAATAGACTTAGGTCAAGAGAAGCGTATGTACCAAATTTCACCAATCGTATCAGAATCACGTTCTGAGTAGATTAAGAACGTGATTCTGATCCGATTGGTATACTTAAAGGCGGAGATATTTAATAGGCAAAATAAAACAATGTTTCTGTCTGGAAATGGCTCAAGTTAACCAAAAACTTATTGGACGAATATTATTAGTGAATAAACTATTCATTATTTATAAAGTTTTCAAGTTATTGCTTATAAAACGTCCAGTAATCATCGTTTTGGCTACTGCCAACACAACTAAAGTGACCACAGAGATACATAATAGACCCATAAATTTATTTTTTCAGAATTCCTAAACCAATTTTCTAACTTTTAAATGGTTTTCACATACAAATTTAATTTAGTTTTTTTTGTAAAACACAATTCTTATCTCGCAATCAAAAAAAAAAAAAATGTGTGAAAACAAAATGACAAAGCCGAAAATAAAGTACTTACGTATCTGATTATATGTAAGTCATTAAAAGGTTACTTAAAAGTAATACCCACGGTAGTATGTAGTTGGCTACTGCCAACACAACTAAAGTGACCACAGAGATACATAATAGACCCTTAAGTTTATTTTTTCAGAATTCCTAAACCAATTTTCTAACTTTTAAATGGTTTTCACATACAAATTAAATGTAGTTTTTTTTTGTAAAACACAATTCTTATCTCGCAATAAAAAAAAATGTGTGCAAACAAAATGACAAAGCCGAAAATAAAGTACTTACGTATCTGATAATATGTAAGTCATTAAAAGATTACTTAAAAGTAATACTAACGGTATGTAGTATTGAAAAGTAAGTAGTTATATAATTACAAGTCATTACCGAGTCTTTGCTAGGATAACATCTTCAATTAACGCATTTGATTCTGACTCTATTTACAAAATTTTTTTCAAGGATCATATATACAGTTGCGTTCAAAATAATAGGAGTGAAAATTTGAAAAATTTTGAATATACATTTTTTTTGTGAAAGATTTAGATTTTTAATTAAATATTTTTATAATTTATTTATTTAACTTGATCTCTAATTTTTATAATCGTTATTTTAAATATTGAAGAAATTTATATAAAAAATATATGTATATTTTTTTTTTAATTTATATACAAAATCTATTGTTCAAAATAATAGGAGTATTCGATTTAAGTTCAACTATTTTTTAAATAAAAACAAAAACGAAAGCACTTTCATCTAAAATATTATTAATTAATGTGTGGCAGTACAACGTCAGTCATTTTTGTAAAGATTTTATTTAGAATTTGGGTATATGAGCCTCCGGAACTTAATGTCTTTCCGACAACGGTTTTGAGGGGCTTGATGACACATGTCGTGGCCGATTACCAACAAATATGCAGTAATTTATTCAGAAAGCCTTAAAAGATGTTATACACAAGGTCTTTTAACGTTTTGCTTTAGAATCAGTAAGTCGACAACCATGTAATGGCCTACATCCTATGGAACGAGCTTCCACCAATTTAGAATTAATAATGTTGTCATACGACAACACCGCCATTTTATCAAATTTGTTTATTGGGAATATGAGAGCATATCTTGGGCTAATATGTGTACCTACAACATTTGGGGTACGATACCATTTTACAATTTATTAGACCATACCCATCAAGACCCATCATGAATCATTCCTATTATACAACTTCCTTGAAAGTTGGTTAGAGCTTAATATTTTTCGATTAATGGACTTCCAATATATTTTCTGAATTCATTTAGATTTAAAAATATAATTTGTTGTCGTATTCATGCATTAAAAATCCATCCATTTATGAAACCACCTCTAAATGTGTTACTTAGCAAACTTTATGTGTTTCACTATATGCTTTATGGTCTGAAATTCAATTTTTTTAAAAAAGATTTGTTTAAAAATTAATCTGAACTAACTGAATATTAATCACGATGGTTAATAACTACAATTTGGCTTAGTTTCACTAATTTGGGGCGCCCTAATGGGATTAATTTAAAAAAAATGATAAGCGCTTATGGGAAGCTCTTATAATTTTTGAATGAAATGTTTATTTTTTATGAGAGATTTTAAAATATTTGACTTCCTAAAGTATTAAAAAATTCTTTTAATGAAATTACCATGAGAATTTTAATATTTTGTTCACGATATTTTTATAATTTTCAAGATATTTGAACAGATTTCATTTTCGTTAATTCTGACATTTTCTTTCAGGATTTTAAAAGAAATAATTGTGAACTGAGCTCAAAATCATCTAAATATAACAGTTTTATATGACATTTTTGATATTTACTACGAATAAAGGAAATGAATCTAACTTAGGTTAGATAATATATGGTACTCCTATTTTTTGAACAGTCTAATCGGATATGGATTTCGAAAAAAGTGAATACCAAAAAAACTAATGAACCTATTTACAAAATTTCATTTGTTTTGCATTTTAAACACTTAACAAATAAATATCGTGAAAAAATATTTGATTTCTGTAAATCTTTCTTTTTTAAATTAAGCTGCACAAATATTTTTAAGTCTCACTCCTATTTTTTTGAACGCAGCTGTATGTATGTATATTAGAGTGTCCCGAGGAACAGCCTTTTCAAGAATTTCATGTAGGAATACCACTCAATCGATGCGTATTAATGTACTGAACACGAGAAAAATACAAAATATTTTTTTTGAAATGGTCCTCAGTTCCCTACCAGCGCACATAATTTTTTTTTGGCAGAAACTATAAAAATATTTTTTTACATTGAAAATTTATTATGTATGAATTTGTGATAGGTTTGTATAAATTTTTTTTATAAGCGTTTTTAACGCTTTTATGACCAACTAAAATTTTGGAATATTTTTGAAATTTTTTATTTTTTAATCAAAAATAAGCTTTTAAAACAGCCCATTTGTAATTTAGCAAGTTATGTTAAAACTAATAAAATAGTTAAAGCAAATATTTGCCAACAGATTGGTCTAATATCGATTTTCTACACTTCAACCATTTTTGTTTTATTCTTAATTAAGGTCTATAAACAAATTCAGATCATATTATTTTTAAATAATGTCAATATTTAACTAAACAGGCAAGATATGTATATTAAAATAAATTGATGGCAAATATCTCCCAACATATTGATGTAATTTCGGTTTTTTATATTTTTCTCAACACTTAACCGTTTTGTTTTATTCTTAATTAAAGTCACTATAAAAATTGGAACTAAAAAAAAAAATATTTTTGAAAAAAATATTTTTTATCGGAAAACTGTGTTTAAATAATGCGTATTTTTAATTAAAGGACAAGTTATGGCAAAATAAAATGATTGCAAATATCTCCCAACACATTGGTCTAATTTCATATTTCTTCAACACTTTTAAACATTTTGTTTTATTTCTTACTGTCTATATACAAATTCGAACCAAATAATTTTTTAATGAATAAAATCAATCACATATATTTTGTACATCAGTCATACTTTTTTATATTTATCGTTTCACAAGTAAAACCTACATTATCATCAATTATTTAAATAAGTAATATGTTTAATGTATTCCTTTTTTAACTAAAAAATCTGTTGGTAAAGAATACATTGAAACGCATCGTTGTAGAGGTATTCCTCCTAAAAAGGGAGGCCCTAATGTATATACTCAGAAAGTAATAATTATTTCCTGAACGAAAAATAAAACTCAAGAAATAATCATTATTTTCTATGCAAAAAAATAAAACTCAAAAAATAACGATTATTATATGAACGAAAATAGTTTAACGGCTTATAATTTGCAAACTAATGGATCTCAAATAAATTTACTTTATTTTACGTTAATTTACTTTTATAATGCCTTCAAGAGAAAGTATTTACTTATTCAATTGTAATTTTTGTTTCTTAAAATTTACAAAAATTTAATATATTTAAAGTTATGTGCTTTAGTTTTGTCGCTGCAATTTTTGGCTTATTAATTTGTTCAAAAATAATGTTTCATTGTTTTTAATAATATTAAAGAATAAGTTCCTAAATTGTATGAATTTTTATATTTTTTCAGACATAATCTAGAAGCCTTGACTTAAAATATTTCAAATATATTTTTATTTTCTATTTGTTAAAAAAATGTTTGAAATTTTCTTAGGAAAATTTTGTATTTTTTGTGATTTTTAGATTAAAATCGATGAAATCTGCGGGAAATTGGCGGGATTTTATGAAGAATAGATATTTAACTATGTTTGCTGATGTTTTCTTTTTTAAGATTTTGTTTTTCAGCATTTCAATTTCTATTTTTTTATTATACAAAATTCGCTAATAAAGTATTACTATCTACTAAATATGGAAACAGATTAGTAGATAATAGACTTTGTTAGCAATTTTTCATGAATATTGCAGAAAAAATGAAAAATGAAATTTATGTATTGCCAAAAATCACGGGATCCCAAAATATCCCGGAAAGATCGACATGACGGCAATGCCCATATTCTATAAGTTGCTGTTATTTTGAAATGGTAAAAAATCTATATTCTTCGTGTGTCGATTCATATGTATGTATGTATTTTTATTTATTTTTTTATATAGTTGTTACAACTTTTAGTTTTTTATGTTTTTTGTTGATGCTGTTTTTCTTTGCGCTGTTTTGTTTTATTACGCTCCACTCGCATTAATTTTCTTGATCCAGCTGCTTCTGTTGCAACAGACACATTTTCTCTACAAAACAATGCGCGGGCGCTTTCTGAAATGGCTGGATAAAGGCGAGCGGGTTGAGCGCAATGTATACACAAAAAAGCTTTCAAATTTAGTCTTGTGCATTGTGTACGTTGACTGAACAACTGAACGACCGACTGACTGGCATACTGACTGATTGAGTGAGGGACAAATCGTTTTCTTTTGTGTGTAAATTCCAAAATATATGTAACTTCCACTTTTTTGTTTTTATTTCATTTTGCTGGTGGTGTATTTTCGTTCAATAGTTCTGGATGAAGTCAGCCAGCACTCAGTAGTTGTTGTTCGATAGTCTTGCTGAGCAGCCATAATTTCAATTCCAGTTTATTATATTTTTATTTTTTTTTAATTTTGAGGAGAAAAAACCGCAGAAAACAAACGTGATCACAATAATTTAAAGTTTTAAGTGGCCGGTCAAAGAAAAAGTCAAACATTGCAAATTCAATTCTACAAAAATCGTGTGTGTTTCAATTGTATTAATTATTTAAAATCGATTAAGCAATACTAAGCATTTGATATAAATTAAATAATGCTAATCTGAGTTGATTTAAAAAAATTTTCAGTATACTAGAGTGTATTCCTTGCTTATTTTATTATTTAGAATATAATAGTGCATAAGTACATACTACATATGTATGTTTGTACATACGCGTACATATATACATAAATATGTACATTTTGTACAGGCTGTGTGTTAGACATTCAATCTTTTTGTTATAAGCTATTTTGCCGCACCCCAAGTCATTTGAAATTTGTTATTGAAGTTTCACATACTTTTTCTAATTTTATTTTATACTATTATTGTTTGTATCAAAGAATAAATATAAATATAACCGAAAGTGAGTACGAAAAAACCTAAGTCTGTTGTCAAAAACCTAAGTCGTAAGAATGAATTAGTTGAAAAATATACATATGTATATATAACCCAACAAACACTGATATTTTATGAAATAATGGTTTCAATGAGATATTTTTATTCAATTTCAGTTGACCAATATAAGAAACATTTAGATTTAAAGTTATTCCCAATTTTAAATCTACTCTCTCTCTGTTTGCTGGGTTGAGCCAATGTTGACACTTGGAAATATTTTTAATATTTTTAAATATTTTTTGCTAGCACATCCGTTGTCTAAAAGTTAACAAACGTGGTAAGCACAAAATGCGTTGTAAATAGTGAGCTTACCACGTTTGTTAACATATAGACAACGGATGTGCATAATGTTTAGATTGCGATAACGAATTGTTGTAATGTTGACAACGTTGCGTGGTCTACATTACATGTTGTTGTTGTATGTATGTATATACTTGACAATGGATGTTATTGAAAAATTTAGTGTCAATTTGGTATCAAGCGTGTATATTTTTTTCCTCTGTGCACTGGCTTCAAATCTACTAGATTTGCGCAAACCTCTTCAAGGTGTTTGATATTCGATTTTTCAAACAAATCCCGTCATTTTATTTTAATATAACGACAGTAATGTAAATTTTTTTAAATTTAAACATTAATAATAAACATAATACCACTAATTTTCAAATTATAATTTGTTCTGTTTTCATTTCAAAATGAAAAGTAACTTTTTCGATGAAAACATTCAACTTGAATGGAGAGCCTATAGTTGTATTTGCTTATCCTAGACAAACGTTCAAAAAATTTGTATGGAAAATATTCAAATTTTCAAAAATTTCCCAGTATTCTTCATACAAATTGTTTACGTTAACGAAAGTTTCGTTTTATAAAATGAGGGGGTTAGTTCGTACGAGTCAAAAATCATGAAGATAAAACTATAGAAATGCTAAAAATTATTTTAAAAATTTTTATCAATTTTACAGTTATGTAATATCTCAAGCTTAAAAATATTTATATACAATCAAACTCGTTTTTAACCAACTCCGGGGGACCAATCAAATTTGTTCCTTATAAGCGAATTCGTAATAAGACGGGTGTAAAAAATTCATATTTTAGATTTTGTGTAATACAATTTATGATTGCAAAAGTTGGTATTTTTATATTTATACAATTGAAATAAGCTAAAACTGCTAAAAATATTTTATTGTCAATTCCAGACGATCGTATATTATATTTCATAGACGATTCGACTCGCGATTTTGATAATTTTTTTGACACATAGTCATATTTTGGCTCAAAAAAGGTGCTTTTTGAAATTGGTTAAATTTGGGCCATGAATAGCCCCATAAAATCCTGTTCTTAAGTAATATCGATTTTATTTGGATGGGTCTTATTATGTTCATTAGTTTCTAAAACTAACTGATGTCAAATTTTAGCCCAATCGGATAACGGGAACCCGGGCCGGAAATTGAAATTGTAATTGAAATGTAAAATTGGGTAAATAATAGGACTTTTTTTATTTCTTCAAAAATTCTTCAAAAATTATCTATAATTAGTCGTTTTTGATACGTATTTGTGAAAAATAATAAACATAAATAATAATTTTAGACGAAATAAAAAATAGTCCTATGTTTACCCAAAAAGATATGTCCATGCATATATCGCGAAAAACACAAAAGTTACCCATAAAATCTTGCTTATCTGGTAAACTATATAAGATATCGAGAAATGAAGGTGAAAGTTTTTCAAAGGATAGTTTTTTCAAGAAATAATTGTTTTCATACTTTACAAACAACATCTTAATCACATCTAAAAATGCGATTACATATTTTTCGCTTTTATAAATCAAACATATTCTTACAAATGAAAACACAAAGTGAGGAAAGATATGTAGAAAAGTCAGTACAAATAACACATTCGAAGTACTTTAAATTTTGGTGAAAAACCAACGAAATTTACTAAGCGTGTCATTGAAAGAATGTGTTTTTGACACTGAAATATCGGATTTTTACTGCTTCTAAAGAATAGATGTAGTTCAAAGTTGTCAAAAATGAACAACATCCCTCCAATGACACGTTAATGGGTAGTGTTTATAAGTGAAATATAAAAATTTAAGTGATTTTCTGAAATGAGTCAAACGAGGGCCAATCATTAAAAAAAAAATTGTTATGGGTGCTAGGTTTCCGTTTTCAAGAATTTCGCGAAAATGTTTAAGGTTTTTTTTAGTCGTGGTTTACCTTTTCGTGGAACTGACCATATGCATATGACAAATGTAAAATTTACGCTCAATTATTATTTTTTATAGTTTATGTACGTTTTAGTTATTCAGTTTTTGTGTGGCGTTTGTTAGAACCAATATAAAAGTTATTAGATTTGTTTCCGTTTCTTACAACAGAATTATTAAAAAGTATTTTTTGTGCAAAGCATTTTAAATAACATAAGTATACATTGACAAACCTACATGTTTTTAGGTAGATATGGATATTGTTTTTAACTTTTAGTTAACCATTTTACCGTTTGAAAGTAAATATCAGTATTCTTTAAGAAGTCTAGAATAGGCAATTGCGCTTAAGCCATACAATGTTTACGAGCCTAAACAGTTTCGGTATGTGTCAGAAAATACTATATTTACTTGTATTAATTTAAATAAAAAAATTGCCAAAAACACGAACAATTATTAAAATATTGTACAAATTCATTAAATATTTAAATATTGGCATATTACTCGGTAGTTATAAATGTACGAACTTTTTTCCGAAAATTCTCCCATTAAAGAATTAATAGTTGCTTTCCTTGTACTTTTGGGCGAGGTGGTTTACTGACGCTTAAAGTCGGATATGTCATTTCCATAAGCCGGACAGTTATGTGGATTTGCCTCTTGTGGCACAATATTGTCAGTATTGTTTGAATGCGACTTAAGTACCAATGTATTTCCATAGTGGCATGATGCCAAATTGATCCAAATGAGCTGTTTTAGACAATCCGTAATAGATATTTTTGTGCTTATCGAATCTGATGTTATAAATGGATAGCTTCTTTTACCACAACTGCAAATGGCTTGGTATACAAGAAACATCTTGGGTTTGTTTTTGTACGGTATTATCCTCCATCAGCCGCGAAGTTGTAAAAAGTTTCCCAGTGCATCATCCATAACACAACAAGAGTATTTTTTACAAACATTGCCTAATTTTTGCCTCTTCGAAACAGCTTATTTTCGTTATCAATATCTGCTAGATCTTTTTTCCCCGGATTCAGGTTTTCTTTCAATGCACAAGTCCTCCTAATATTTTATTCATTTTTGAAATAGTGTGACGATAAAACTTTTTTTGTACGTGCAAAATTCATAAAATTATCTTGAAAATTACGACTTTTATCGGAAGCATCAAATTCTTGTATTCTTCAATGGGCGGCACAATCACCTGACCTAAACACCATTTGATTATTATAGATGTGTTTAGTGAAGGATACAGAGAAACTAAAAGACACAATATCCTTGATGGGATAAAGGGCGCAAGGAACAGCTACTCAAATTATCAAATAAAGCGTACAATGCCTGTAATGGTCTTAGATGTGATCCTCTTATAAAAAATTACGGATATACTATGAACTTTTTTATTAAAAATTAATTTTAAAAGTACGTATTAAGAAGTTGCATTAGTTTTAACCAATACATATTTAGTATGATTTCCTTCTTGTGTCCTTAAGTCATATGTGTACATTTAATCTTGGATTTTTTTGCACTTTTTTATAGTTAACAAATTATCTTACTTAAAACAAAAAACAGTTCTAAAATTTCGTGAAAAATTTGATGCACCATTCCACATAAATATAATTTTAGTTACTTTAGTTTTGGCCACTAGTGTATATATCCAAGAGTAATAAACTTAGCCAATAGTACTAACCTTAGTGCAAATTTCGTCAAAATCGATTTTTTGAGTTGGGTCACTTGACATGAAATGTCAAGTCACTTTGACAATAAATCTGAAAAGAAATTCAATTAAAAAAATTCTCATTTCTTTTGTAACAAATTTTCTTTACGAATTCTTTTCGAAATCGTATGTCCTTTAATGACTTTTTACAGGGGCTGATTATAAAAAACTGAGTACACAGATTAGCAAAACGATATGATTTAACCAAAACGACAATTAACTCTTTCATATATACTGAACTTTTTTTAACTTTTCTCGTTGTAGAGCGTAATTTTGAGTTCACAGATCAGTAAAAAGGTTAATATCCTGCGATATTCTTCGAAAACACTTTTTCCATTTCCCAACAGAAATTATCAACATAATGTGTAGTGAACTCATACTCATAAAAATTCAAGCGGTTTAGTTTTGAGCGTAAAGTTACGAAAATGACAGTTAGCTTTTATATTGATGTTCTAAAATAAAAGAATTTATGATTTTTATATTTATTGCAGGACACTTTAATTTATTCGTTAGAATGAAATCAACCTTAATAAAATAGACACTGTCAAGAAATGATTTGAAATTTGATCAACACCTGCTTCGTATTGAAAATAAAAAAATGTGTTATTTAATAATAACTGGTGGAAGCCTGGTGTGGTTTCTTTTGACGCTAACAGCTGATATGTTTGTGATTTCAGCTATAGTTACGCCCAAATGGCTAATTGCTCCCGCCCCTCATTCAATTGTTATACCCCGCGCTATACTGAATATAAAACAGGATCTACAAGGCGAGCTTGAATCACCCACTACATCATTGCGTTACCCATCGGTTGGCATTTACACTAGATGTAAGTCCATGAAAGATATTGGCTTTCATTGTGGCCCCTTTGATTTGGATGGATTTGCGACGGATAGTGAAATTTACCCTACAGCGTGGAAGGCCACTATGTTTTTTGTGTCATTGGGCTTTGTTCTATTATCTCTGACTGTTGTGTGCACCTTAGTGTCTTGTTGCCGACAGTCGATTTTTGGCAAAAGTATACACAATATGACAGCTTGTGCACAAGTTATTGCAGGTGAGCATGCATTATTTATTTAGATTTCTTTACAACTTCTACTGCTAGTTGGAAGCAATACATTTTTTTTATTTTAGGTATAAGTGTAATGATGAGTTTATTTCTGCATCCATTGGGTTGGTCAGCACATCGAGTTCAGCTCTTATGTGGTCCTGATGCTGAGCCTTTCTATGCTGCTGGTTGCTCTATAGGTAAAAATAATTCCTTTATATGTGGTCTTATTGTTTGTTTTAATCATTTATATCATACATGTGTTCACAAACTTTTTATTAAAAAGGGATATCATTTTATTGTGCGGTAGCTGGTGTATTGCTATGTTTTTTATGCGCTGGAATTAGTCTGAAAGCCGAATCATCGAATATGCGGTCACGAGTAAAAAGGCGGGTAGAAGGAGGTGATCGACTTGTATGTATTCCATAGATAGATTCCATCCGTTTTATTAAGGTTAGAATAACGAGTTAGTCACAAAAAATAATAATAATAAAATAGTTGTGTTATTTTCGAAGTTTATACTTATGTATGTATGTATAAATTTTCAGTACAAATTTAAGTAGGTTTAATTTTTTTTTTCTAAAAATAATTTTTGAACATATTTTTTTGGAAAAAAAAATGCAATTATCATTAAATTTTTTATTTTTACAGAAATTTTTATAGGATTTAAAAAAAAAATAGCAATGAGATTATTCAATATATCGTCACCTGAAATGCAAACGGCCCTAACTAACCAAAAATTCAAAATCGATTTTATTGTTGATTGTAATGTATTGCGTCAAAACAAATGTCCACACCAAAAATTGGACTCCTCCGACCATAATTATCGATTTTATTAACAAAAAACAAAGGCCATATCTACAAAAACATTGAAATAAGTAAGTTAAGTGCGAATGAAAAAAGTATGTTTGATAAGCCGCTTGTATAGTCTATTTGGGCCTTTAGTAAGTAGTTTTTTGCTTCTCTAAAATTTTAAAAATGTTAGATAGGGCCCTTTACGTTTTAGGTGACGATATGTATGTACATATGTTCGAAAATTTGAACTGGTAATGAGTTATAATTATTCTCAATTAATTGCAAGAACATTTTGGCCCAAGCTTTTAATTCCTTCAATAAAACTTCTTTTGCTATCATACTGTCTGTCCAACTTATCTACATCACAAAAAAGAATATCCCAAACATTTTTAGTGATAAATAGGTCAGAGAGTATGCAGGCGGCTCATAATACAATTTTTTAGTTTAAACATAATTTGTATTCTGATTTTCAAAAATATCATTGATTTTTTGTCAAATAATTTTTTGAATTAATTCAAACATATTCGGTATGTATTCTATAAAAACACTAGCTAAACCTAGTGTGCTACCCTAACGTCAAAATAAATAAAAAACGAATTTTGAAGATTTTAGCTCTAACAGTTTTCAAGATATACGAATTTTTATATTTAAATCTTATGGTTAGTGCCAAACCCCTATTGAAAGTCCGCCAAGGTTTATTAAATAAGGTTACCTCGTCCGCACAGCTGATTATCAGCAGTTTTAATCCAATTTGTCAAAATTTCTGTTTGTTTACATTGAATAAAAATTTTAGAAATTGCATTTTTTCAAATTAAGAAAATTCTTATTTTATTAGCACTTTATTAGTTGTTCTTCATTTCTTTTGTAAAATTTTAAATAGAAAAGCATTTCTGGAAATTAAATAGATCTTAAAAATAAATAAGTCAAATTTAATACAAAAAGTCCAATTAGCATCGAAAATTCATGACAAATCATAACGCAATAAAGGGTTTAGAATTTGGGATTAATACCACTATAGAAACGGTATATTCTATTATATAAAAATTAAAAATAAATATAAAAACGTTATACTTTGATAAAAACCATAACATTTGAAATAGTTTTCGTTTGATTATATTTTTTAGAAGTAAGAATGAAAAAATGTTGTTTGTTATTTTGATTTGTCAAGCATTTTAGGTACTAATTCTTTTCTACTAAACTTTTTATCAAAATACCTTTATATTTAAGTCCATTTTTATTCATTCAAAATTGTTAAATAGTCTAAAATTGACCAAAATTGTCTGTGAAAATCGGTAAGTTTTCGTTATCTATAAATGGGGCTAAAACATTTTCGACTCTAAATCACTTCAAAAAAATACTTTTTTTTTTTTTTTGTGATTCTAATACTTTTTACCAATTTATTTTATTTTTTATTCATGTTATTTAAGATATTTTGAAAGTAAGGCCCTCGATTCTGCTGTCAGGTTTCATATATTCACAAAATTGCTGCAAAAACCAACTTAAATGTGAAAAATCTAAACAAAAAGTCTATTTAATTTTCAAAAGAAATGAAAAACAAATATTTTTTAAATATTTTGTTACATACCCAATGCATTATAATAACTTGTTTCTATTATTTTTTCCAACGCATATTTCAGTTAAATTTAAATAAAAATTTCCCGAGTCCGAAAAACTATAATGCCTGAGTAACGGAAGAACGTATATATAAATAGCTTTTATTTGAGATATTGATCATCAAATTCTACCATATAGTTTGGCAGAAAATAGGTTTTCCACTGAAAAATTTACTTGTTTCTATTTTTTTTTTGCCGGCACTGTATATATTTAATTAAAATGTTTATTAAATTTGTATGAGTGTATATGAGTATAGATAGAATATAAAGATTCCCGGCTTTCATTTGATACCAATATTAGCATATTAATTACAACACATAAGAATATTTGAAATATTTGTTTGAAATTGTAAGTCCTTGGAATTTTGAAGTCCTTTTATAAGGACATAAGAGCTGATTATTGAAAACGGAGTATGCAGAATTACTATAAATGGCCTCTAGTTTCACAGGCATATCAACTTTTCTATGTGCGAAAGCTTTTTTTCAAAATTGTTACAGGGTGTTATACGTTCAAAAAATGTATTCAATATGTATGTGTACTTATTTATTTGTACTTAACCTTAAGAATTAAAATGTTAAATTATGTATTAAGATATCTAAAAAAATAAAAAGGTTTATTTGCAAAATAGCTTTTATGATAAGTTTTTAAGCCTTAACAAATTTGTCAGCTGTTTTAATTGTTGTTAAGATTGGACATAAACCTATTAAAATATGTTTTCACAAAAAAAAAAAAAAAAAAAAAAAAAACAAATGAAGGGCTTATTGGAGTAACTCGGTAGCCACAAAATAAAAATATTGCAAAAAAATATTTTTTTTAAAAGAATTTTAATTAAAATTCTTTACCATTTTTGACTTTTACATTGGATCAGCATCCCATCCAAAATTTGATGGGAATACAAACTTGGAATGATTAATCTAAAAAATACGCATAATTTCATCGATTCTTTACATTGGTCCAAGGCGGCCATTACCATGTTTCCTTAACATGTATTTGTATTCAAAATCATATTTAATAAAATAAAAAAAAAAACAAATTTAAAATATCTTCAGCGTGGAAAATTGTATAAACGATTTTACATGAATACAGCATTAGTCGCTTTAGTTTCGGCCACTAGTAAAATTTTATTTCAGATCAAACAATGCATTTTTTATAAATAAATTAAATTCGAATACTTATGTGAGACACTGTATGAATGTATGTATGTATATATATATATGTATGTATGTACGTATGTATTAACCACAAATGAGTCAGAGGTGGCTCAAAAGCTAACCATTTTGCTTATAAAATACTATTTAGTTTTTCAATGTAATGTCATAGGAACGAGTCAGTACTCACTCACTATACATCATTTTCAGTTAAGCAGAAGTTACCTCATGATGAGTTAGCTTCTAGCGCATAAATAAAAGATCAGCTGTGAGTTACCTGTGCAATTTTCTTACATTATTATACTATTTTTTACCAAATTATTACAAATTATAATGCAATCAATATGCAGCAACATTTGCTATCTATATACACCATTATCCTATGTCTTATATTTCTGAAAATGTTAATTTGTTTAATAATAAATTCATTTTTCATTGCTAAAACAAATTCATTTATTTTTCAATATTTAATTTTTTCAATACAAATTGTTTGACAAATTTGTTCTGAGTTTCTATTTTATTTTAAAGTTTATTGAAATATTTGTTCATTTCATCGATCATTTTTGAGTTACTTTGAAGCTTGTCATAATAAGTTAGCAAAAAGTTAACTTGATTTCTAGTTAACTCACAAAATCCTACAGGGTATAGTCTAGTAGTCTTATTCATACTTAATCAAAGGTTTACAGAACATATATTGTATAAAAATTTATTTTTAAATTGCAAATAATGAGTTAAAATGCTAATAAAACATTACATTTGCATTTTAAAACATTATTTTAACACGGCTATGTCATTGGAGGCAAGCCCTTACCACGCTCGCTTACAAATAAGTATTTAAAAAAGTCCTTACAATTAGAACGTTAAACAAATATTTTCAAAGCACAAAACCATTTCCAACACAAAATATGATACTAGGCCTGGCGTTCATTAGTCCGCTGTCGTACACACAACTCCACTGCTTAGTTATTTTATTGTGCATCGAATAATGATTTTAACACAAATATGTGTGTAAAAATTGTTTATTCTTTTTATTTTTCACTAAAAAATAGTTTCTAGAGCTTCACAATGACTGAAATGAATTTTCTGGCGTCATTAAATACGAAATTCCAAGCTTCAAAATCATATTCCACCGATGAAGTTTAGGGTTTCAATTTGGTTTTACCTTTAATATATTCATAGTTATTAGCAGTCGACAATATAATTTGTAATAATAATCACGCCCACTATTCAAATATCACCCATTTTTATTTAAATGAAGTAATAATTTGTTAAATCATGCAATGTTTTGATATGATCCGTGAAACATTTATGGAAATATTCGATAATAGAAGGTGTAAGACCAATTTTTGAGCACTTTCATTTTAATTCCAACTAGGCATAATGGTAGTTATTGTAATAATTACAACATTATTTATGTTTTTATTATTATTATTTCTGTACATTATTTTAATTTTTTATCTATAGCTTTATAATTTAGATTACATTTATAGAAAGTTATACGGATTAAGGGCCTTATTGATAACAATTAATAAAAAGTTTAAAAGACAAGCTTTCATACGAAATTTGTTCTATAAAACTTTGATAAATTGTTAGGAATTAGTTAGTAAAAATAACTAATTCTTTTTACCTTTTCCCTTTCTAGCTTTTACGTTCTCATCATTTGTTATTTTTGTTTTGGGTATATAGACACCATGGTTTGTTAACTTTAGGTGGGAGAATAGTTTGTTTTTAGAGTCGAATTTAGATTTACACGTGACGCATTCATGTTTGTTTGTTTCTGATTCTAATCCATTATTAGAATTCGATGCCATTTTAGATAAACTTTCATAATCATTGCTGTGTTTCACGGATTGCGTTTCCGATAAATTCGATTTTTTCTGATTTGTTTTATTTTTATTCTTCGATTTCTTTGATGATTTTTTGTTTGTTGTACTCCAATCGTCATCTTCTTTCTCATAACTGGAAGAAATATTTAGTTTTTCTACAACTTCCTCTATATTTTCCTCATAATGGATGTCTTCAACTGATATTAATAAATTTGTCCGCTTTGATTTTTTAGCATCCCTTTTAACTTTTGATTTGATTGTTTTATTTTTTGCGCCTGTTTCTACCCCTATATCATTTTCGTTTTCCTCCTTTGATATTTCATCTGCACTTCCAATAATTTCTTGGCAATTTTCATCTGGTTTGAATGAATGTTCTTCATATTGCATTTCAATCTTTAGTTTTTCGATGTTATCCCGATGTTTTTTACTTGTTTCATGGTTTGCAAATGCCTTTTCTGTTTTGAATTCTTTATTGCAAGCCACGCAATACAAATCATCAATATATTCAATATCTTTAATATCATCCTGTTCAACTAGGTCTTCTTCGCTCATTTCTTCATTTTCGTCCTCGGCTTCATCTTCATAATAATCATCATCGCTGCTATATTGCATTTCTAAATGCTTTAATTGTTCTTCATAATCATCCTTGCTTTCATTTGCTATTTGGCTATTCTGTCTCATTTCCTCTAACTCCTGTTGTCGGCGTCTGATTTGCTCCAATCGATTTTGTTCTTGCTTTTGTCTGTTGAAAGCTGCCCTTTCTTCTAGTAATTTTTTATATGCCTGCACACGTTTGTCACGCTTTCGGATAAACGACACTAAATTACGAACCTAAAACCGATAACATAATTAAAAGTTATTTTATACATAGGTATAATGTAGAATTTTACTGCCCTATTCATAAACATCAAAGGTTTTTGAATAAGGCAGCAAGATAGATAGCAGCTCGTTTTTCATTGTGAATAAGTAAATGATGATAAACATAATAACACTTGTTTTATTTTTGATTTATGCCGGCTTGTAGTAAATGAGTGATATGTACATTAAACCAACTCTCTCTCTCTCTCTCTCTCTATGGAATGAAAAGTGTTTTTGTTAACCATCTCAAAATTTATCTTGCGTTGTTTTATGATGATTCCCAAAATATTTTAAGGCTATCGATGGCCGTTCGTGAACAAATTCAAAAAAGTTCTTTTCTAATATTTTAAAATTTTTTTTTTTTTGAAACAATGTATTCACAAACAACCCTTTGACGAAAAGCGATGGACTTTTTATGGAAATTACTTCATTACACACTTTATTTTGACGTTTATTAATAATTATTGATGAAAAATGGAAAAACTGTTTGCGAAGGATTTCGCAGGAAATCTTTTTCATCATGTAGTACCATCAAATTCTAAAAAATAACATTGTTTTCTTTGGTAATAACCATTTACTGTTGCTGTGAACTCAAAATTACGCTCTAAATAAAAAAAGAAATCTTGGAACACCGGTGTACCGTATACGTGAAAGAGATAAAAGGGCAAAATTTTAAAGGGTTTTAAAGCCACATCCAATGGTATATTAAACAAAAAAAACTTTGTCTTTATAATTGCAATATTCCAAAAAAACAAAAATTATTAAAATAAAAATATTTTTGTTGCTGGTCCAGATTACTAACTTCGATAAACTTATATTTTGTGAATCATCATAAAACTATTTTTTTCGAAGTTGAGTACAATTTTGAATTAAACATTTAAAATCGATTTTCTTTTGGGATATACATAAGTTTGCTTGAGATTAGGAACGGACAGCATTAAACCCATAATCAGTGTTGCCACAGCTAAACAAGTTCTGTAACCGATTTTGTTTTAGAAAATAACCAAGAATGATTTTATTCATTCTCTAGTTATTTCGGATCGATAAATCAATAAAACAATGGGTTACAACCACAACAAACAAACAACCTTTTTACTGATGATCCAAAATATTTTAGTTTCGCAATATATAAAATGTTTATAGATTGATTTTGTAATTACATTAGGCATTATTTTTGGAACATCAAGACATATTTGGAAATAGTTCCCAATAAATTGTCTGATTAGTATATAAAGTAATTAATTCTCAACTTTAGAATCTAAAGGTTGTTTCATAAAATTATAAAAAAGTAGTCCCCGGCTTAGCTAAATTAAGCCTTAATAAATGGATACTTTTTGAAATCCATGCCATTTTTGCTCATAGACATTGTGACACTTTTAAAACTGTCATATGGACACTTTGACTCAATTTAGTGTGTCATAACGTCTAAGGACATTATGTCACTGGACATTATGACACGCCACCACATTTTAGGGAACATCATGACATAAGAAGGAACATTTTGAGATGAGCTACTCAAGCACATTTTTTGTGAGTCGGTCTAATGTACATAATTATGTTCCAATTTTTACGCCCTCCTCCAGCTTTACCAGATCTTTCCATATTTGTATATACATATTATACTACATGTGTACATATTTGTATGCGTACCTCTTCGTTTCTTTCTTTTTTGGCCTTATGAACCACCTTTTTCATATCCTTTTCAATTTCCCTTAATATTCTTCGATCTTTTATCTCTTTTATATCATAGGGGCACAGCCACGTATAAGTCCGTTTAGTACAATATGCACTCCAATAGGCATAGAAAGGCCCAACTACTTCCTCATAACTACTTGTTGAATTGCCAAATGATGGTATATTTTCCAGTTCTTCATCATCGTCCATAAATTCAGCGTCCTCTGCAGCTATTTTTTCAAATACTTCTCTGTAAACGGAATAAAATCCCTTGGCGTCATCGCCGTAGCCCTTGAAGCATGAAACCGTGAAATATTGGAACACATCCAAACAGTTGTCTTCATAATCAGAATTTTTTCCTCTTAATATTTGCTCACGATGATTGTCGTACCATGCTCTTTCTTGAATATCGGAGAGAACTTCATATGCTTGCTGAATAAGTTGAAAGCGCTCTTTTGCCTCGTCCATACAATCTGGATTTTTATCCGGATGCCATTTTAGTGCCAATTTTCGGTAGGCAGTTTTAATTGCACTTTCATCTGCATCTCGTTCCACACCAAGTTCTTCATAATAGCACTTCATTGTTTTGACACACTAATCTTTTTTGCGAATATTTTTGTCTCAGTTTCGCAACCAAATAATATAAAACTGCATACTCTGTGACTTTATTATGACAATTGTTTTTAACAACATGCGCTGAAAACAGAGTCCTGCGCCGACAAATATTAACAGCGGCGGCTGCTCACACTAAAAATGTCGTCGGCGGCTTAAAATTGACTGCCAAGTTTTCAACTATGTTGTTTTTAAATTTTCAACGATTTTAAATATAATCGGAATCCGAGAGAGTGGTATTTTGTAAGCAAATATTTTAAAAATCGGGATTGTCGTCCAGAGTGGGAAATTTTTGTATTTGTGAATACTATTTTATGTATGTATTTCTCTCCTTATACAACTCATTTTCACGAGATTTATTTTTAAACTCACGAGACCAATTTTTATTTCAACTCTTCATTTTTATACCGTTCACCTTCGTGCGAAGGGTATACAGTGGCGGCCATGAGGTTAGCACTTTGGTATCTGTTATATATAACATCATCGAGGATCACGATTACATTTGGTTCCGCTAATTTGTTGCAAATAGATCCCTTTTCTTTGCAAAGTAAATTTACCCCCAAAAATATGTTGACATAAATTAAGCACAGAATTTAAAAAATCATTAAAATATTAAAAAATAAAGAATATTTGCACATTTTGATAATATCATTCCTTTTCCTGGACATAATCTTCACCAGAGCACACTAGAAATTTCATGATATACATTTTAACTTCCTGGCCTTAAATTGGCGAAATTCTTAGGAATCTCTGCTTTTATCCAATCCAATTGTTGTTTTCTATTGGATTGGGACCTAATCTCGCTCGCTTCCAACTAGCTCATCTCTGCACTTTTAACATATTTTAAGTCGTTGTCGATTAAAAAAACGCCATTTAACTGAACTTTAATTTACTTACTTTATACTCTATTTTTTTCCAAAAATATTTAAGAGCCTATTTTGATAGTCATACTGATCCATTTGTGCATCCACCTTGCGTATAGAACCATCACTACGCCCGAAAAACACCACCGAATTCGTCATATTTCACCCATTGTGGTTTATTTATTTATTTATTTATTTATTTATTTATTTATTTATTCAGTAATATAAAGCCACTTTGGCCAAAATAACAATATTACATAGTAAAATATACGCCTTAAAAATATTATAAAGGTTGATATATGCTTAATATATATTTATTAATTTGTTACATATATTTATTCATTCAGGCTCCCCAGCCAGTAAGATTAAAAATATAAACAAATACACATAAGGTCCCTTTCAGAAGCAATTTATGATTAATACTATTTAATAAATGTAAAAAAATAAAAATATTTATACAATTTATAAGAGTCATAAAATAGCTTTTAACTATATAATTAACAATGTATAAATGTATAATTAATGGGTAAGCAAAGGTATTGATACTATCGTTTTTTATGTGGTAAATAAAATAAAACACAAGTACATATAACTCAAGTAAGTATATTGGGATTGCTCCATTACACATCAGATATGCAGGTCTCAGTCTGAACAACAAGGACGTTATCCTGTACTAAAAAAAAATTGTCATTTTTACATTTATTTTAAAAAGAAAACCAACATGAGAGCATATAAAAACTTTCCAGGGTAAATTCAAGCAATATTTCCTAGTAAGTAGAGAGAAAATTGTTAAAGAAAACGAGAAAAAAAATATATATATATGTATATATATGCATATGTATATATAGTAGGGAAATAAATGAAAATTAAAAAGAGAAATAAAATGGTATGATAATATTTAAAATTATTTTAATTAATAATAATGTTGACAAATATATATATATAGTATAAATCAATAAAATAACTAAAATAATTATCAATACCAAAGAAATATAAAACATATACATCATTTCATTTACCCCAGTGAATAACAAATTTCAGCAGATCATTTCAATTTTCATATCAATAGAAGCTTTTGTCAGAGTCATATGTCATTAGTTACTATTTTAAATATTACGAATAAAATTATAATTGACAGATCAACACAGTTCAGGAAGTAGTGCCAGAGAAGTACTGCATGAGTTTTAAACGAAATACATTATTGGAATGAGAAAAAATACGCAACGAGTAAGGTAGAACATTCCACAACCGCGCAATACGGACCAAAAACGACCTTCCCAAAACAGATGAAGATATTCTCGGCATACAGATTTGCGGATTTCTTGTGGATCGAGAGAACCGAAAGGATCTACGTAGAGAAATAGGCAAATTAAACTTAACAAGTTTATAAAAAAGCAATAAACTCTTAAACTTTACAAAATTAACAAAATTCATACCTAGGAAAAGATTTACAAAGGAAGAAATATGCTCATAACGTTTAATATTATATACAAAACGAACTATCATATTAGATACTCGGTTTATCCTCCTAAATAGGGTGGCAAATGTACCAGCATAAACTTCAATGCAGTATAAAATTTGTGAAAACAATAGAGAATGAGCCAAATTATATCTCACACGCAAAGGTAAGTATAAATTCATCGAGTATATCTTACGCAAAATACCAAAAACTTTGCAGAACAAATTGTCAATATGATTCTCGAAAGAAAGGCGGCTATCCAAAATCACTCCTAAACATCTTATATTCTCGACCAAAACTATGCGAGTATTCCCTAAAGTGATCTCCATATTGGGAAAAAAACGACTTGAAGGTCCAAACAAGGCGGCCTTTGTTTTAGACGGGTTAACAACCAATGAATTGTTCATAGTCCAATCAGCAACACGCTGTAGATTATAGTTAATATTCTCACGCAATACATCGCTAAATTCAATATTGTTATTAAAAAGTAAAAAAACGTCATCAGCAAAAATAAAGGTTTTACACATAGTAGAGTCAACACTACGTGGGAGGTCATTAATATACAAAATAAACAAGAGAGGCCCCAAAACCGAGCCTTGAGGAACTCCAGAAAAAAGAAGGCGTAAAGAAGAAGTAAGACCATTATATTGAACAAATTGAGATCTACCTCTGAGATATGATAGTATAAGTTTACATGCCGATGAAGAGAAGTTAAACTCATCCCTAAGTTTATTTATTAATGTAACAAAACAGATTGAATTGAAGGCTTTAGAGAGATCAAGGGAAACTAGTACACTTAAATTCTCATCATTAATATTTCTCCTAATATGATCAGTAAGATTGAGTAGCAACAGAGATGTGCTATAACCTTTACGAAACGCGTATTGATCATCATATAACATAGATAACGTGGATGCAACAATCTGTTCCTTAATAATGTGTTCAAATACCTTCGATAACGATGGCAGAATAGAGATGGGCCTTAAATCGTCCAAACCGTGAATTACCTTCGTCTTCGGGATTGGAACAACTCGAGCAATTTTCCAACAAGATGGAAAAACAGATGTGGTTAGAATTTGGTTAAATAGATCAAGAATATAACTAGATACATGGGGAAAGATCAACTTGATAACTTTAATAGGAATATTGTCGATACCAATGGACTGCGATTTCACTCTTCCTAAAGCCTCAAACACCTCAAGTTCATCCACACAACTAAACGAAAACGAATTAGTATCATTCCAACTAAAATTAATGTTAAACTCTTCAGGAATATCACCGTTACCTATACCAACAAAATAATCATTAATTAGATTCACATCACCATCAAAAATTGCACAATCATCCTGAACACCAGCACCTTTAAGAATACGCCACATCCCCCTAGTATCTAGTCCAGAGAAAAGCTTTGAAAAATATTTCCTTTTCATTTTTCGCACAATATTCTTGGCTCTGTTACGATACTTACAGTAGATTTTCCAATTAGTCGCAGAACGGGAGGACTTATAAGAACAATAAGCAAGTCTACTGAGAGATTTAGCATAGGCAATATCCTTACAATCATACCAACTATTATTATCTTTATTACTAATTCTCTTCCTAACAATAGGTACAAATGTCATAACAGATTCAAAGAGAGAAGAAAGGCGAGAACATTTATCGTCTACAGATTCAGCAAAATAGCTAGAATTACTGAAATCTGACAAAAGAGATAGAATACCTTCCCAATCAATAGAATTAAAGTCTCTATACTCAATATACTGCTCAGATCGCCGATCCACAGAAATCTTAAATGAAGCAAAAATAAGAGCATGGTGCGAAATTAGCTCACATTGTAACTGGTCAGAAAAACTCATCATCGAAGGATTACTCACTAACCAGAAATCAATCAGAGACGTAGATCCATGTGCTACATCAAAATGCGATGGTTTAGAATTATGAAGAACTGACAAATTATTCCTTAAACAAAGTGCTCGAAAATGCATCGACTTGCTAACATCAAACATATTGCAATTAAAATCCCCAACGACAATAACATTGACATATTTTAAGAATAACCCACAATGAAAGTTTTCAAAGGAAAGTATGTCACCCGTAGGTAAATAAACAACACCAAATAATATTTTAGAGCCATTGTAGTCCATTTCTATAAAAAGGGATTCACAAAGTCCCAATTCAGAGATCTGAAATACTACTTTATACTTCAATCTTTTAGATATAAAAATCGCTACACCGCCTCCTCTCGAATTAAGTCGATCATTACGAATGAGCGTGTACCCAGATATTCCTACGGCCGTAGAGGAAATAAAAGGTTTTAACCAAGTCTCAGTTATAGCAAACATATCAAATAATGAATCATATAAAATGTACTTCAATTCATCAATCTTAGAGTAACTAGATGAGGGTCTAATACTCTGACAGTTAAGATGGCCAATGTTCAATTCCTGATCATGAGAACTAAGAGCAGAGTTAATATACAATTTGCTACTGAAAGCTGGACCAATATTGGTATCAAGTGACACTGGTTAACAAGATTATGGGGAACCAAGAAAAGTTACAATTAATAAAGGACATATAAAAGCATATAATCAAAAATACAAATACAAAAAAATTCATTTCAATCTAAAATACTGCTGATCAAAGGTGTTAAAAATACAATAATATAAACAGTAATACAATTGAGATCAAAAGTGTTCAAAGTTAATAAAGTATAAAAGAAGAAAAATACAAAACTAAATATATAGCAACCATGAGAAAGGCATATAAAAATATCTGTATGTTATTAAGGGAGATAAAGAACAGTATAATATTGAAAAGAACAGCAGATATTTTCAAGATTCTAATCAAAAACAAAATTACTTTATCTTAGTTGCCACATAAATATAACTACAAGTAAAAATTCAATTTCAAATAATACTATACGTATAGCAAAATCAAGGTCAGCACATCTCATAAGCAAAATATACATAATATAAATTACTGCACATAGTAAATATACACATTTACATATATATATATATACATATATACATACATACATATATATATATATATATATATATATATATTCACATATATACATATATACATACATACATATACATATATATATACATACATACGTACACACATACACATACATACATATATATACACATATACATACATATATACATACATATACATGCACACATACATATACATACATACACACATGTATATATATTTACTACCACATACTAAACAATAATTTATATTAGTATTTGCCCTAGAATAGTACAACCTTAAGCTAAGTATATAATAATAAGATTAATAAAGAGAAATATTGTAACAAAAAGAAATACCCAAAATTTATTCATTAAGTAATGCAGCACATTCAACGGAGTCGCAAACCACGTTCTTTCCATCAGCCATGGTCAGCTTAGCACGTAACTTATCACCATTAAGCATCTTAAATTTAATAATTATGCCCTTACGGAGAAGCTTCTTACATACAATATTTAACCGGCCAGCAGCTGGGGAATGGTGATCATTTAAATATATACGTGATTCAATTTCACCTCCAATAACATCGCAGACTCTTAAGGTTCTGGTTTTGAAATACTCCGCCATTAACTGGTCACGCAAAAAAACATTATTGAATTTTACTAAAATAGCTTTTTGATTCTTAAAGTAAAAGGCATGATTAATGTCGACGCGAGAGATAGGGATATTATAGACAGATCCTATTTTAATGATAGGATCCACTAGGTCACCCAGACCTGCTGGCAAACCAATAATAATGACGTCAGCACGATTGAGTCTCTTGTATAAGACATTATTTTCATCCTCTAAAGTATTAATTCTTTTAGTAGTCGACGTGTCAATAAAACCAATAAGTTTATTACAATTAAGTATTTCAGCCTTCATATCCTTAAAGCAAGTTGTCATTTCTGTTCGAAAGCCGGCGACAGTATCCATTAGAGATTGTTGAATAGATCTTTGATCATTGCCCACTTTATCAATAAATAAATCAAGTTTAGAGCTAATGGCACAAACCTATTCGCGTATTTTATCCATACCAGAATTTGGGTTTTTGTCACATTTGGAACAAGTAAAAGATAAAGACTTACTGTCTTTTAATAAAGTGAGTGCTTTTTCTTGAAGATCTGTACAGCTAACATGTATCCACAGTGAACAATTTTTGCATAGGACACTGGCTCGATTCTTGGCAATATCTTCCAGACAAACACCACATTTGTAAGTTTTAGCAGGCGGCATCTTAAAAATGGTTGGTAGCAAACAAATTCAAAAGTGCACTAAATAGCCCGTAAAATACATTAACAGCAGACAGGAGCACGTTGATAATTCACAACCAGTAAGCAAAACTTCAATATTAATAATAATAATGCACCAATAGGAGGATAGCAGCAACAGCAAGAACAGCTTTACTTAACAGCAGCAATAGTACACAATGAACTCCAGTGAAAGTATTTTAACAATTCCTGTAGGATGACAGCAGCAGCAAATCCACACTAACACCATAAGCAGAACACCACTCACAATAAGTATGGCAGCAAGTGACACAATGTGTAGCAGCAAACAGCACCCTTATATATGTAGAATCACCAGCAGGAAAACAGTAGGAGCAATCATCCACCAAGGTAGCACAGCACTCACAGACCACAAATATGGCGGCAGGTGCACTACTCCAACAGCCGCAGAAACACCACCACACGTAACACACAAAAATGGCGGCAAGTAAAACAGCAAGAATCAATGAAAAGGGTTCAACTGCAAGAAGATAGCAGCAGCAAACCTCTACCAGCAACAAGACACACTCCACTTAACCACAAATCATAAAGTTCCAATAGACTGCAGTGGTATTTATTAAAAAATAAATATGTACAAATTTAAAAAAAGTTCAGGAACAAAAATGGCGGAATGCAGCACACAAAATTTGCAAAGGCAAATAGCACGTTTTTATAATTTTTCAGCAAATAATTTATCCAAAAGAATCTTTATATATTAATTGAAACAGGAGATAATATATTCCAAATTTAATTAGTTCAAGTAAAAAAAAACACTTTTTAATAAAAGTAATTATTATTTTTTCCACAAAAGATCAGCCGTACAAAAAAATTTCAACTATTCAGGCATAGAGTTACCAGATATGGTTTTAAATGTACACTTTGGTTGTTGCTACATGTTTGGAGTACAGCATAAATACATTTTTCTATCAAATTTGATCCTATTAAACTTCAACTAGTATCCTTCAATCATGCAGGATTTCTGGCCTTAAATTGGCGAAATTCTTAGGAATCTCTGCTTTTATTTGTTGCTCCATATCATTTTAAATGTTTTCTATTGGATTGGGACCTAATCTCGTTCGCTTCCAACTAGCTCATCTCTGCACTTTTAACATATTTTAAGTCGTTGTCGATTAAAAAAACGCCATTTAACTGAACTTTAATTTACTTACTTTATACTCTAATTTTTTCCAAAAACATTTAAGAGCCTATTTTGATAGTCATACTGATCCATTTGTGCATCCACCTTGCGTATAGAACCATCACCGAATTCGTCATATTTCACCCATTGTGGTTTATGGTTTTAAATGTACACTTTGGTTGTTGCTACATGTACATTTTTCAGCATATACATTTTTCTACCAAATTTGATCCTATTAAACTTCAACTAGTATCCTTCAATCATGCAGGTAAAGCTTAAGTGTTCCTGAAAAATCATATACCACAATGGGGGAAATTTCATGATATTCATTGCATTTTCTTGACGTGCTGTTGGTCCGATATTGATGTTGGATGCAGATGTGGATTCGTATGTCACTTTTCACTTCTTGGACCAAAGAGGTAAGGAAAATCCGAAAACAGTCTTTGATAGTCTCCTTCACTTCACAGGACAATCAAACTACATAAGCCAAAAGGTTCGAAATAGAAATAAGGCATTGAAAGCTTTAGTTGGCACCTCTTGGACCATTGACAAGGAGACGATTGTAGGGACGATAAGGCCGCTCTCTTCTCAATAATGCTGCTCCAGCATGAATCTTTTTCCTCAGTGATACCCAATAGCGAGGTTTACAAACGGTCTAGAATAATGCAATCCGAGTAGCTATCGGATGTAAATAAGGGAAAAAATCCGACACAACAATCCGGTTCGGAAATGCGCTACTGTGCTGCATCTGACGCATTACGTTCGGAAATGCATCACACACAGTTTTCAGGAGAACAAAAAAAGTTTAATTCCTGAAAATGTTCCTTCCATATTTTAATTCTGAATATCTGCTGCTGAAACCATTAATTTTGAGATAAACTTTTTCCAGAGCAGAAACTGCAGAATCGATTAGAAATCATCATTAGAAATCATATACATAGAAAAAATAAAGAAGAATGAGCTCAATTTCATACTTTAATAATGCTGCAAAAGGATCATCCAAAGATGCACAATAGCATAAACGATAATAAAAATATTTTATAAATAATGTTAACAAATTATATTACACATTCACCCCTATTCTGCATTTCGGTTACGTTTACGCATTCAGTTACGCTACGATCGAAAATGGTATTCCAATAAAAAACCGAATTGTAAGAAAAAGAAGAAGCAATTCCATTTCGTTTCAATGCTTTACGAATGTGTGTATTCTGCGTTACGATCGTGCCTACGTTTTTGCAGATTGTTGTTTATGTGGCGGAGAGTCGAATCGAAATGCAGAATACCAAAGTTGCCAAATGTAGAAAATTTCGATTTGAATTGAAATGCAGAATAGCGGCGATTAGTAGAAAATTGTATAGATTACTCCATTCTACATAAATATTATATCAGTTGCTTTAGTTTTGGACACCAGCGCATATAGCATTCAGCATTTTTTGGTCTAAGTATAGAAATCAGTGTTTTGTTTAACAAAATAAGTAAGTCAATATTATTATTACCCCTTCATAAATGGTATGATATTACAATTTCAAAAATATTGCGTGAAGCCTAATAATTATACTTCGGGAAAACTTATTTACAAAATAAATGTTAAAAGCGCGAAATTCCCTTTTTTGTTTGAAATTTATACAAGACATGGGGAATGAGATGGGAAGATATTTGCCACAAATCAAAATTCGACTAAAAGTTGATTTGGCACCTTTTTAATATAGGCTCACGATATGTTATTTTATAATTCTAGTGACATATCAGGGGACAATTTATCTGGGATCATATCGTAAATATCCAGTGCACTACTTTTTTTTAGCAAATATTTGCTCGACGAATTGATTGACTTTTACCAAATGTTGAGATAATTAAAATTTTCAAATATTCAAAATCAAACATTAAACATTGTTTATTCTTGGTTAAAATCTTGTTCATCCATTTATAACACTTTTCAAAATTTAAAATTTTAATTTTTTACTAAATGCAATCTTTGAATTTGTTTTTTCTTTATATGATAAAAAATTAGATAATATTAAAATTAATTTTGGAAGAGCTTTTAAATACGATGTGTCATTCAAAATGACGTAATTAAAAATATACATATATACCGATATTATTGAATATTAAGAGGCGAATTATTAATATTCTCCGAAAAACAGTACACAACAAAATTATATTTATCACTTAATTCTAAAGCCAATGAATTATCACTTCCCTATTCGTATAGTAATTAAAGAGGCCTTTATTTTAGTCGAGATTTAATACCAGACAATGGTAAAAAAAATTGTTAGGAAACTTTTACTAAATGTCATTGGTGAGTTGGAGAAATTGATCCTGTTGTATTGTGATGAGCATGTTCAGCTATGTAGAATACATAAACAAGTGGAATGACGAAACACAGAGCTAAAATTACAACAAACAAACAAATCCACGACATATCACAATCAGTCCCTGACCAATCCATTGCACGCAATGATGGCCCACGTATACGATGCAATCGAGGTGCATTAGTCGAATCGTTCAAAATATCCGTTATAAGAGGTGCCGATACATCGTCGAGATTACTTGCTGATATATCTTAAAAGAAAAAAGTAATTTTAAAATTATTGGAAGAAATGTATAAATAAATGTATTACCAATATATTACCTCCATCATTGTAGACATTCAAAGTGCCCGATTTTAGTTTTGAATTCAATATGATGTCATTCACGTTGTTTTCCCTCGCTGTTGCTGCTTTACTTGTAGACGGATGGTCTAAACCTGAAGAATTTACTGAAGCTACCATCAGTTTTTCGCTTAACATGGCTTCGGCATCTTCAAGAGGATTGCGTACAATACTACTTAAACCACTATTACTGTCGCGACTCTCACTGCCACCAGACTTTTGTGCTGGATTAGGACTATTATTACCGCTCTTATGAACGGTTGGTAATGTGTCCAAGAGTACATTGTGTACCGTTACGGGAATTTTAACCACTTTTCGAGCATGAATCTCGTTGTCCTTATCGATTTTATTTAGTCTCTTAATATCGGCAACAGTACAGTGGAAACGTAATGCTATAGCTTGTAACGTATCACCAGTTTCGACTTTTGCTTCTATTGTATTTTCGAACCGGTTTGTACTATTGTTGCTGTAAGTAGCAGGTATTCGTGAAGATATATTGTTCATCTGCAGAAAATCAACTTCGGTAGTGTCTGAATCATTGAGAAGTATATTGTGGTATGGCACAGTAGAAATTGAATAATCATTATGTGTATGTTGTGATGAGCGCCTAAAATTTTAAGATTACATGGGTATTTTATGTGTTTATTCTGTACAATTTTTTTCTGTTGGTAAAATGTACGAAAAATTCCTTGTAAATGTGCGATTTTTTTTAAACAAAAATCTTTTTTTTAATTTGAAGTTATAAGCTAATTTAGTTTTCCAAGGATTTTCATACAACAAATCTGTTTTTGAAAAATTTCGAAATGATATACAGTGACGGAAAAAATAATAGAAACAGTTATAATTCGGGTGAAAATTTGTCATTCAACAACTACCAGCTATAATTTGATGATTAATATCTCAAATGAAAGGTATTGAAGTCTACTTTACATTTTGTACTTGTTTTTACTTATTTGTATTTTATTGGTATACTAGCTAAAAGCAATATAAATAAAAATCTCTTTACCTTTCATATTTACTTTTCATGAGAGAAAACACTGTCATTATACACATTTGGTGGCACGAAATTTATTATTTTGTTCATATGGGATGTGTCATCTCCTATTTCTAATTCGCCAATTTATTACCCAAAGAATCACATGAATGACATATTTGTTTGTGCAAAATTGGAGGATTCTAGCTTTAAGCGTTTCCAAGATATACAAATTTGTGTATTTAATTCATATGGGGAGTTATACGCCCCCTATTGCTAGCCCTCCAATTTTACCTCCAAATAATCATATGGGTGTCAAAATTGCTAATACAAAATCTAGTTGTACCATGTTCCGAGATATTCGACTTTTGAAGAAGTAGGCGTGACATCCCTCCCACTTGCAATTTCAGTAAAAAATATCCTATAGTTCGTTCCAGATATAGAGGAACTTACACTGAAAATTTCATAGATTAATAAAAAGAACTAAGTATTTATTACACCGTCCAACAAAAAGAGAAAAAATTCGTTAGACACGAACCGGATGATATAAGTTTGAAACTATATATTTAATGGAGAAAAACTGAGTTTTTAGTTTTTAATATTGTGATCCTGTGTCCTTTTTAAAGGACTTCAAAACTTTAAAGAGTACATTTTTCAAAATATATTTTAAATTACTTCTACTGATCAATGTCAAATTTGATGTCAAGCGAACAAGAAGATTTGGGAAATATTCTGTATTATTTTTATTTTATACTGTCAGGATAAAAAGATGCCAAAAATGTCTTTTAAAATGTTTACCCTTTATTTAGGTTTTCAATATTTATTTAAAAAAAAATTTGAAAGACATTTTTTACGTCTTTTGATCCTGACAGAATAAAATAAAAATAACACAAAATATTTTATACCTCTTCTTGTTCGCTGGACATTTTCTTCGTTTGACATCTTGTTCGCTTGACATCAAATTTGGCATTGTTTAATCAGTAGAAGCATTTTAAAATATAAAAAGGACACAGGATCAAGAAATAAAAAACTAAAAACGCAGTTTTTCTCCATTAAATTTATAGTTTCAGACGCATATCATCCGGTTCGTGTCTAATTTCGGACGGTGTTATACAATTGCATGTACAGTATCAGACAAAATATTTGCAACTAACATTCATAATACAAGATTTGGTTCGTAAAATTAGAATCTTCCCAGTACTTAAACATGGTTTTGTGAGTTCAAGTTTCTTATTATGTTAGTAATAACTTAATAAATTTTTTTAGGTTTTAGCTAAGTGTTATTTTTGCAGTATAGTATGTGAGTCGACCTGTTATTTTCATCCGACAAAACAATTTCTGTAAAACGTCTTTTCAGTGATGAATTCAATATTATCGATAGTGATGGCATAACCCGTGTTAGAAGACCAAAAGGAAAACCAGTACAAAAAGAATTTTAAACAACAATTTTAAAACAAAAAAATTAAAAATTTTTCTCTTATTTTTCATAATTTTTTGAGTTAAACTTTGACGGACTGGTTTTTTAACCCTACTGCAATTGCTGTCCTAGTTAGCTAGTTGGGGACACTTCACTCTCACCTAGGACTCGTCAATAGCTAGTAATGTGACTGACTCCCAAGAACCCATTTGGATATTATTATCCATTGACTACTTTTGACTAGCTCTTGACAGTCTCATTATAGAGTGACGATTGGCTTCCTCGAAAATTTTAACTGAATTTTTAAGCCACTTCCTGTAGATCAAATATGCTGACATTTGGAATATGTATGTATGTATATGTAGACATCTGATAACAACATAACGTAATGTTCAAATTTTCAAAATTTCTTTCGAAATTTTTAAGTTATGTTCGAAAAAAAATAATTTTAAAAATATACCTATACACCCAGTGGTTTGTTAATTAAAAAAATGGAATTACCAGGTATTAAAATTTTGAAGCAAAATTCGAAAAAATCAAATTTGTTTTAATTTTATTGGATTCGTTTGTGCTCAAACTAAACAAAAATTGACAAGTCATATAATACTTAAAAGCTTTTCATAAAATCCACTTTTTAAATAAACTTATTTAACTTAGTTTAAAGGTCGGATAGACACAATGTTCTTTTGTTTCTTTTTCTGTTGGTCCAATATTGCTCATTGTTAATACCAAATAAACCTAGTTAATATCATGGTAGAAAAATATTTTTTACCATGGTTAATAGAGAATATTTGTGGTAAATTATATCTCACTGGCTCTTCTCTTTTGGAACTTATTGAGCTATGAATAGACAGATGGACGGAAATAGCTGGATCAGAATTAGAAAATCTATATGTAAGCACTACCATCCTTTTTACAAGTAAACCATAGTGTTTAAGATCGTTTGTTTACAAAATTGCAACAATAGCGGGATATTTTTGTGTAATTTTTTTCTGTTATTTAGGTACAATATTTATTAATATGTATGTATGTTTGTAAAACGAATTTCCGAGACGTTTTATAAATTGTACTAATGCTATACTAAACAATTGCATTAGAAGTCAAAAATATTGCAATTTACCAATATCTGGTTTATAAAATATACTCGTTCGATATTGAAAAATTAAATTTCATAAGTTATTTACACATTATGTTAAAGGGATACTATATTTCTTCATAGTTCAATTTGTGGTGAGGTGGACCCAAAATCAGTTAAAATAATATTGACATACATAAGTATGTATGTACGTACATATTTACATACAATGGAATACTTACGCATTTCTTCGCATTGTATTTTCTATCGTTTTAAATACTTCCACCTTTCTAAGTACGATTATCGTTTGTTGGCTGTTGTTAGCTTTTATTTCTGGTGTTGTTTTCGTTTAAATTGTTTCCTTTAATTTTTACTATAATACTAATATTTTTAATATCTTTTTACGTGTAAATTACTTATATTTATTAAACATCATTGAATTTACAAGAAATGCATGACGTAGAAGAAATTGACAGTTGATGTCAAAATGATTCAACAGCGTTGCCAACTTTTCACCATAAAAGATGGGGCAATGCAGTAGCTATTTTCTGTATAAAGGGCCCTTCAGACGATCACACTTTACGTACGACAAGTTTAATAAAAAAAGAAAAATGAAATTCCATCCGTATGACAAAAAAGCAGGGTAGGTAAAAATATCGCTCGCGATCGCAATTTTATTTATATCGCTCGTTTTTAAATTCAAAATCGCGAGTTTTATTTTTCAACACGCGAGCACAATTTTAATTAGAGTTTTATGTGTTTTGTATTCGCTTCGTAAGCGATATTTACATGTTTTTGTTTTTTCAACTCGCTTACGAGCGAGTGGAAAACGAGTTGAATTCGAGTTAAATTCGAGCCGAAAATCAGCAAAGTGTGTGTGCAAGAAACAGGTTCTGTTGTGGTAGTAAAAAAGAACCAATAATATGGGAAATAATTATGTATGTGTGATTGTGTAGCCGTAGGTTTTATGACGGTCTGACAAAGCAAAAGTGAGAAAGTATAAGAAATATATTGTCTACCTTTTTATTTAAATGTGTATGTTTTTTGTCTGTAGTTATGTATGTACATATGTATATTTTTTTTATTTATTACTGCCGGTTTCTCTAAATGCGAAAGAACATTTTCATTCTTACAAATATATTGAAAACAACAAATAAATTAAAAATGTTGTTTTTGTTTTCAATATATTTATAAGAAAGATAATAAAACACGTGTTGAATGATGTATGTATGTATATATGTATGTATGTATGTATGTATGTATGTATGTATGTATGTATGTATGTATGTATGTATGTATGTATGTATGTATGTATGTATGTATGTATGTATGTATGTATGTATGTATGTATGTATGTATGTATGTATGTATGTATGTATGTATGTATGTATGTATGTATGTATGTATGTATGTATGTATGTATGTATGTATGTATGTATGTATGTATGTATGTATGTATGTATGTATGTATGTATGTATGTATGTATGTATGTATGTATGTATGTATGTATGTATGTATGTATGTATGTATGTATGTATGAATGAATGTATGTATGTATGTGTGTATGTATGTACGAAGTGTCTACTACTTCGCAGCAAATAATGTACGTACATATGTATTTGTGTACATAATTTTAATGGGAAACTTATTTGGTTATGTCATATTTATATATAAATTGATTGTGCCTTATAAATTTATTCCATTTACAAAATTATAAAACTCGCGATTAACTCGTTTTGACTCGAATCGCGAGCGAGTTCTATTTTACGCTCTTTAAATTTTCAACTCTTATCGCGAGTTTAAAAATTAAACTCGCGAGTCGAATAGATTTATTCGCCGGAAGATGAATTATTTAAATCGCTCGAATTAAACTCGCTCGCGAGCGAATTGAATTCGATCGCTATCTGTACCCTGCAAAAAAGAGAATAAAAGTCGTTTGATTTATATTTTTGTGTTTACACGATTGGTATAAAACAATAACAAAAGTAAGATGGAAACAGTTGTTACACTTTTTTTGTATGTGTTTACACAAAAATACATCCCTGATCTAATGCGACTTGCTTGTTTTTTAAATCATTCAAAAAATTAATCATTTCAAAAAATACGACTCTCAAATTTTCCATCCGTATTTTCTCTTAATGTGTGATGATTTCGTTACATATTGCTTTTAGACGATCCCATCCGTTCCCTTCTACACAAAATTTTTACAGATCATATTACTTGTGTGCTCGTGTGAAGGGGCCTTACCGAAACGAATATTTTTCTTATAGGTATAAATAATGAATAATTGTACGCATTGCAAAATTAATTTGCCGGAGTAGAATTTTTCATTTGGAACAAACATTATTCCACTCAGGGTATATTATCTTTACAAAATTTAATATTTTTATGTGTATTTTTTTATAAAATATAAAAATTTCACAAAATATTTTCAATTAATGAATTTTCCGCAATTATTGTTTTTGCATCAGTGCGTACCAAATGCAAGAACAAATTACATGGACAATTTTGTTGTTGCCGAACTGCCACCTTATCTGAATTCGCATTGGAAAATACCAACCAAAGTATATTAATAAAGTAGCCAAAGTAAATTAATATATAATTAATATAAATTTACTTTGAAAGTAGCGACATCTCTTGTTGTACAACAACATCTACAACAACCACATGTATTTTGTTTTTGGAATAATTTAAGATTGTGTCAAAATCATATGGTTTTTGTTTATAAAATTTAACAAAAATTTCTTTCAACAACAATGGGAAGAAAACTTAAATAAAAAAATACGTTTTAGTTTATAATATTTATGACTCAGAAAACGATTCTAAGCCGATTGGTATACTTTAAGGTGGGTATAGGACGAATATTTTTGTATGTTACAAACATCAGCACAAACCCAATATACCCTCCCCACTAAAGTGGTGTAGGGTATAAAAAATACAGCTTGAACAGCTGTTCAAGTGATGCTACTTTATTAATATACTTTCATTTAACAATTTGCAATCGCGTTATAGCGATCTAGTGCTCTGATAGCAGATATATGGACACCAGTTTGAGAACCAGAATCACCGCCAAAAAATGCCACAAGATCAGCATACTCATTGCACTCAGAAACCAGGAGAATTACGAAATAAAAAACAAAATCCATGGAAAATTTTGTTGTTGCAGAACTGCCACTATCTTATGTGAATTTGCCTTGGGTTCTATGGTTGAAACAAAAAGTCGATTTTGGACTTTTCCAAAACGTTATCCGTATGGAAACGGTTAAATAGTACATGTCAACACATGAATCATACTGCTCTTGATCTGCAGCTTTAACTTTGATCTGAAAGCATTAACTCTTCGTATGACTTTTCTACTTTACTCCAGCGAGTGTCTAATTCTTTAAATTTCAAATCTATAATTGTCTCAGATTGACTTTAAATATCTATCACATTTAAAAAACAGCATATTGGGTAAGTGTTAGGGATGCCAATCCCGAAATCCCGATCCCGAAAATCGCGGGATTTTTCGGGATTGGCAAATCCCGAATCCCGGGATTTGGAAAATAAATCCCGGGATTTTTTCGGGATTAGAATATCCCGAAACCCGGGATTTTTCAAAATAAATCCCGGGATTTGTTTCAAAAACTGTTTTTATTTTCTTTTTTTGAGCCATAATTTTCATTAACTTGAAAATTACGATCTTATTTTATTTTCGACTCATGCAAAACTAAATTCCGCAGAGCTAATTTTATACATATTTAAACCTTTTATTTTTTAAAGTGGTATGATTCCATACACATAGCACATATAAATTTATTTATTCACTTCGTTTTTATACCCTACACCACTTTAGTGGGGAGGGTATATTGGGTTTGTGCTGATTTTTGTTATGCACAATAATATTGGTCCTATACCCACCTTAAAGTATACCAATCGGCTCAGAATCATTTTCTGAGTCGATTAAGCTATGTCCGTCCGTCTGTCCGTCCGTCCGCCCGTCCGTGTAAACCTTGTAATCAAACTACAGCAATTTTGAAGATAATTCTATAAAATTTTGCATGATCTTCTATTGTACTAGAGACGGATCCTATTGAAAATGGGTAACATCGGTCCAATACTTGACCTAGCCCCCATACAACTGAACCCGCCGAATAGGGCTTTTAAGTTCATAATTATGTTTAATATACTCGTATCTCGACAAAAAGCTGCAAAGCCAAGTTCTATACTAGCCTTCATGACCCTGATGTATTTTTTGATGATACGGCCTCATTTGACCCTAGCTCCTATACAAAGCCCCCTTCGAAATATGACTTAAATGTACACAATTTCATTCAACAAAAAATAGCTAAAGTATATCTGAGGCAAGGTACAATTCAACTTAGATGCTTTATTATGAACAATAAATCACATTTTATTTTATAACTGGTGTAGGGTATTATATGGTAGGCTTCGCCCAACTATAACTTCTTACTTGTTAACACATCGAAATGTTGGTCGTAGACCGACCCAAAAAGTATACACATTCTGTGTCTGTAAGCTAAAAACACGAGTTAGAAGACTCATTCCATTTGTGATGCAAATTTGGACCAAAATTGACACAAGAAAACCTAATTGGACCTCCTCTGAAAATCACATTGATGCTGATATTAATATCAATACATTACAATATTTTGATGGTGGGTATTTAATTTCGGCACAGTCGAATACAAACTTTATTTTTCAATACTAGAGGATTTTACATTTCTAACTTTCTACAAATCTGAGTGATACCGGTAAAGGTAAATTACCTTGTTCTGAATGCACATAAAATTTTAAATTAATACTACGAATATAATAACATGTTCCAAAACTAACATGTATTTTGTGTAAAGTTCCAAATATTTTTCAAAGAATAGGTTCTAAATTGATGTACGGATAATTGAATTGGTATCTGTTATAATTATTAGTTCACATGGAACAGTATGAGGTTTTAAAAAGTGCTTATGTCTAATTTCGGAACTTGATATTTATTTAGGAAGTAAGTATGTATTTAAAAAGTTTCAGAAATTATGCAATTCTGAAAGTTTTTATTTAAAAATTGGAATTAATTGGATTGTTTTAATTTAAATATATCTTCTGTCTGCTAAATTTTCACAAAATTAAACAATTTTCTTTACAAATATGATGATTTAAAGATTTTCATATATAAAATAAATAAATTCATGTAATCCCGAAATCCCGTAAAATCCCGGGATCCCGAAAAATCCCGGGATCCCGAAAAATCCCGGGATCCCGAAATATCCCGGGATCCCGGGATTGCAATTTTCAAAATCCCGAATCCCGGGATTTGTAAAAGCCAGTCCCGTTTGGCATCCCTAGTAAGTGTTCTTTAAGCCCTTATTTGCATCCATGCTTCAATGTAAAAATCTACTTAAATTTCTTCTTCTTCTTAAAAATAAAATATTATAAATAATTTTCGGTCAAAATATAACCATTTTAAAGTTAGTCTCATTAAAATACGACGTCG